CCCCAAGTCTCTTGTTCCTTCAAGTACTAAAGTTGCTGAAGCCACGAAGAGCCACGAAGAGTATACATGCATATGTGGTTGATGTTTCTCTGACCCGTAACAAACCCCCCGGTTGGTACGAACGGAAATCATGCAATGAAAGTCAACATTAACTTAGTGTATCCGCCGAACTGGCATGTTTATGCTCGAATGAAAACAACTCCTTACAAATCCTACACCCTCAACCCTAAACCTCTTGCCCCATCCAAGAACTGCGAGGAGGAGCCAATGCCCCCAAGACCTGAATGCTAAACCATACTTGAAGGTTCATGGGCAATTACAAGTGGGGTCCCTGAACCCGGAACCCTGAACCCTAAACCGATCATAGGGCTCCTTTAAAGGATCCATAAGGGGATCTATGAAGGATCTATATATAGACGCTAAACCGGCACGCAGTCGACACACGATGCCTTGAACAATCCATAGGGTATACAGTAGAAACCCAAAACACGTTTAGAAAGGAGTACTTTCCAAGAACCCTAAACCGTAAAACTGTGTCAGAAGCATTGCAAAAGTCGGATCACTTTCAGCTCTAGGCAAACTACCTAACCCTAAACCCTAAACCCTCTGACCTGGGCCCCTGATTCCAAAAGCAGCAAACAGGCAAGGAACCCGGCACACGTCAAACAGGGGCATGAATAACTAGATCAAGAGTTTGGTGAAAAAATGCTGACACTTTATAGTTATCGTAAGGAACCCTAGGGAATGATTCGGGAATGATATTCGTACTTGTTTGAGGCCCCTCATTACTTTCGGATGCTTCAGCCCATTCACACACTCGATGCCTTGAACTCGGAGGAGCTTACCTTTGGTTAGTAGGAATGAAAGGGGTTAACAATCCTATAGTCTTACCTTTGGTTAGTAGGGAATGGAGGAAAGGGGTACAATTATAACTACTATTACTACCATTCTTCCATTCCCTACTAACCAAAGGTAAGGAAGCCGGTTGAGGCTCAGGGCTTGGCCCAAGCCGCTTGGGGATTAGGGTTTAGGGGTTTCAGAGTCTCGACCAGAATCGTATAAAAGAGGGGCCTTAATAATTAGAATAGGGTTTGGGGCCCGATTCTCCTATAATTATAAGAGGGTACCCCCAAAAATAGTATAGGTAATGATTAAGGCAGCTATGTTAGGATTCGAAAGCTTAGCATCCTAAGCCCTAGTAGGGTTTAGGGCTAATTAGGGGTTCAGGGCTTCTAGTTCATTTATGGATGAACCAGTCAGCTTTGAGGGTGAGGTTGAGGATTAGAGTTTGGGAATGTGCTTGGGGTTTAGGGTTTAGGGTTTAGGGTTTGGGGTTTAGGGTTTAGGGTTTAGGGTTTAGGGTTTAAGCTTTACGGCTTTAGGGTTTAAGTTTAATGTGGGTGAGGCTGTCTAATCAAGTTGCAGCCCCCAGTGAGACTCCAGGGGCCCTTCATTATGGAGTGTTCCTTTACTTTGTAGATGTGATCTGTACTGAAATTAGACTCCTGGCAACAATTACACTTTTGGCTGTTTCGTAAGGATTATAGGAACCAAAAATTAACAGAACATCTCTAATAAGTACCCCTAAGTGATCCTTATGCTGGGAACCTCATGAAATAATGAAGGGATACTGGAGTCTCCATGGCGACGCTGAAGTCATCGGAGTTTCACCCACCGGCCAGGATGTACATACAGGTCACCCAGGGCAGTGAACCAACAAAGCTGCCCTGGAAACAAAAGAGGAAGGGGTATGAACCTTTACATGTTGAAAGGGGCCCGCCCACACTGTCCGTCCTGACTTGGCACAGGCTTTAGGGATAATGTCGGGGTCTGGTTAAACACCCAATACTACTATTGCAGGGGCTCCCTCCTTCAATGTAGTATCATGGGCACCCAGACCCTCTTCTAATTATTAAGGATTGAGGCCCCTATATCATAGAGCCCTTCTCGTATCCGTCGTATCCCTTGTAGTAGCCCATATAGACCCCTTTAATGGAACCCTATTCTAACTATGAAGCCCCCTGTATTACAGGCTTTGGGGTTTAGGCTTGAGGCATCTGCTTCAAGGACAAACACGTTTGGGGTTTAGGGTTTAGGGCGGAGCCACATGGACAGCCAGCGGGGGCCCCAGAATGCACGAATTAGGAATCGTGGTACATAGAGCAACTTGAGTTTCAGAATAAAAAATGGCAAAGCCTAATCTCCGAACCCTGACGTAACGTAATATATGTATACGTATAAGCTTCGACGGGGCATTGATTCAAGTAGGTATTGAGTCGACAACCTAGACAATCGGCGCTCTTCGCCCGAATTGTGCATGCAAGGTGACTCGATTGGCCATTCAAAAAGTCGCGGGCTCACTGGCTGCAGCTTTCTGCAAGAAGCCCGCTCCAAAGTAGCAAGCTTGTGAGCGGCTAAAGAAGTTGCGAAGCTCTCGTGGCACCAACACATCTGCAGCTCTCTTCAAGGTTCTCCGGTGGTTCAAAGGGCAGTGAACCCTCGGCCCAAAAGAAACAACCTAAATCGAAAACCGAAACCCTACAGTAAAGCCCAACTCCGAAATCTACTTCGCAACACGGAAACCCCTCAAAACCCCAAGATTATCCGTAACAGAATAACGGCCACCCGGGCCACCTGTGTCTGGGGCTCCAGGGACCAGAGCTTGCTTACTTGGAGGTTCATGGGGTGTTGGTTTAGGGTTTAGGGTTTAGGGTTTAGGGTTTGTCATAACCCAAAATTATGGGACTTATAACCCCACTTATAACTACCCATGAACCTCCAAGTAGGGGCTTAATAACGGGGCCTTAACAGTTAGAAAAGGGTTCCTTTGAAGGGTTCCTGTAAGGGCCACAACAGGAAAACTATAAGGGGCTCTGTGATATAGTAATTAGAATAGGGTTTCGGGGCCCATGATACTACATCTATATCAAGGAACCTGGGGCTTCCATATTATGCTTAAAGGCTTAAACGGTTTCCGCACTTTCTTAAAGGCTCTACAAGGACTGGACAACAGCACTGACAACGACCCTGTACCTCAAACGCTAATCGGTAAAAAACCCACCCTTAATCCTCAAGCCTCAACCCTTGACACCAAATCCGTAACCCGAAACAGGTAAACTATAAACCAGAAAACGACCTGAGTCAGCTTCACCCGTAGCCCAGAACCCTACAACAGAGTGGAGGGTTTACCTACAACAGCGGGCCTCTGGATCCACAAGTAAGCCCTGAATCCTTTTAGATACAATAAAACCTGACAAAACCCAGTAGCCCTCAAAATCCTAGACCCTGATTACGCACACCCTAGACCAGAAATCCCTAAACTTTAGACCCCAAACCGAACCCATAACGGCTGCCCCGGATCCTCAACGAGCGCCACAGTCGAGAATCTCGCTGAGGCGTCTCTCGCCAGGTAAGCGTCGTTAAAGGGTCGCACCCGACGAGGCCCGAAAAGGTCCGGAGAGAGGTTCAGGGGCTTTGACAGTACTGTGATATACTTTAGAAGCTGCCCCCACCCTGTAATAGTGACTATAAGGATTATAATAGGTCCCTATTATATTCCTATTATAGTCACTATTACAGGGTGGGGGAAGCTTCTAAGATATACTCTAAACCGCAACGCCTCAACCCTAAATTCTAAGGAGAACAGCTCCTGAGGTTTATCAGTAATCATTCAGGCTTCCTGATTCATAACACCCTTGTCTTTAAGTCTTTGAAGGCCTTGCATAAGCTTGGATTCCGATGGTACTGTAGCAGGGCTTCTGGATCAGGGCCTACCCTGCCCACATCAGCCAAAGGGAAAAGGAGGGACCCTTAATAAGGACCCCTAGGTAATATACCCTTAATATAGCCATTATATACCCGTTATATAGCCCATTATAGAGGGGTCCCCATTAAGGGTCCCTCCTGTTCCCCTGTGACATCAGCCATCAAAATGAGTGTAACCCTAAACCCTAAACCCTAAACCCTAAACCCTAAACCCTAAACCCTCAACCCTAAACCCTAAACCCTCAACCCTAAACCCTAAACCCTCAACCCTAAACCCTAAACCCTCAACCCTAAACCCTCATTGTTGTTGGGTCTTCAGAGTTCTGAACCTCGAGCTTGGGGTTTAGGGGTTTAGGGTTTAGGGGTTTAGGGTTTAGGGTTTAGGGTTTAGGGTTTAGGGTTTAGGGTTTAGGGTTTAGGGTGCGTGCAGGCTTCTGCAGATCAAAAGGTTCAGGGTGTGAAGAATGGCACGGAAATAGTTAAGGCAATAGTGGTGATGAATATGCGCAGTTCCGAAAAACGTTGATGATGATGTGATATATCAGGATGAAAACGCTAATATCGATACGATTTACTTCAAGTCGTAAGCCCCCTACAGCATGACGCACCGCAAAGTCGCACATGATGGTCATAATTAAGGCTTACCCGTCTAAAAAGCCATTGAATGCATGTAAAGCTCTACTGAAATCCGCATGAAAGCCTATGAAGCTGTTATGGACTCCTCCGAAAAGCCTACGAAGCCCTTATGACACCCTTTCAGTTGCGCTATATTCTAACTATTAAGCTTCTTTCTTCATTCATGGATGTCAGTCAAGAGGCCTCCTAAGCCACATCTAGCTTGAGGTTTGAGAGATTAGGGTTTAGGGTCCATAGGGTCACGGCTTTGGGGAGGGTCTGGCCCCAAATGGGGTGTGCGACCCTCTTGGGGGCTTCAGAAACTTGGGATCCCATGTTCGGGGTCCTGCCCCGAAGGCGACCAGGTTCATGAGGATCTCATGACTCATTACTAAACCCTAGACCCTCCACGCGAAATCTTAAAGCCACAATCCTACTTGTCGGGCATCATGGGGAACTAAACGCTAACCTTCTCGGTTACATAGGGATTTTACAGGGATTATACTACCCAAAACAGGCTAAAGGTTACCTACTCCACTACTAGGTAATCGTTGCCAAGGGTCTGCTAGGATCCCACGTTTCTGAACCCCCCGATCTGCAGAGAAGTGTGCAAGAAGCCTTCACTGGAAGTACCTGCGGAGTCATAGGGGCTCCGTCAAGGGCCCCTTTAAAGGGATCTATAAGGATTCTAGAAAGGTATAGGGTTTAGGTCTACTTTTGGAGGATCATGGGTAGTTATAAGCGAGTTACCCTACTTGTAACCCCACTTATAACTACCTATGAACCTCTAGGTTCACTGGAACAGCACCCAGGGTACTTATCATATGTGTCTCTCCCGACAATTTGCTTACGAAGTTCCTCGTGCCTCCCTGCATTCATTCAAATCGATTTAGGGGTTTCGGGAACATGAAATGACAACAAGGGCTTAGGGTTTAGGGCCTGGGGCCCCGAACCTCGAGCCAAGAATGGAAACGTGCCAGGAGACCCAGGAAATAGAATGTTGTACACTTAGAGCAATACCATAGCACGGGGAAGGTTCTTGGAAGCACAGTCATGATGATGTTGAAGAAGATGCAAACCAACAGATGGTAGCACTGATAGCAATCACATGAAACATCAAAAAGAAAGAACAAACTTTCTCTAACTCGTACTACCCTGAAGGATACACCCCAAACTGTAAAACATAAACCATAAACCAACACCTAAACCCTACACTCCCACCCACCACCGCCCACCCCCACCCACCCACCCACCCACCCAAACCCTAACCTTAAAACCCGAAACTCCACACCCTAAACCCTAATCCCCTAAACCCCTAAACCCTAAGACCTCAAAAACAGAACGTCGAGCGACTCCGCAGCGCCACGGAGTCGTCGGGCAGGCCCTGCGCCCTGGAGAGAAGCTTCTACAAGGGAACTATCAGGGGTTTTGGGGATTCAGGGGTTTAGGGTTTTACGAGCTTTAGGGTTTGAGGGGCTTTAGGGGTTTAGGGGTTTAGGGTTTAAGGGCTTAGGGTTTAGGGTTTAGGGGTTAGGAGTTAGGGGTTAGGGTGTGGAGGGGGGGGGGGGCCGGGGGGCTATCTCAAGGTATCTTAAGGGGAGTCTCGGAGTTAGGACCTAATGGTTAAACCCGTCACCACAAATCCCTAAAGCAAGGGGTTTAGGGTTTAGGGCTTTGGGTTTAGGGTTTGGGTTTAAGTCGAAGGATTAGGGTTTGTGGCACTTTCAGGGCGACCGGGGTTGATTTTGAGCACCTTTCTACGACTGCTGATGTCCTAGTCATCCGCGTAAGACCTAAAGATTAGGCGACCATTTTCCTCATTCCGGTGATGCTTCCTCCTTCACGCCCTCCGCCACCACGACGTGGGACCCCTCTTGCTCACCCTCTCCATACAACGCCTGCGGGAGCGTATCGAAGGCCCCTTAGACCGCCAGCAACTGTGTCGATCTTCAGGAAGCCTGAACCAGCCGAGCTCGGATTCCCGCCTCAGCCTCCGACTACATTCTGTATAGAGCTTGCCCTTGTATTCAAAAGGTGCTCCAGTGAGAACCACCAGAATGCAGGAAGTCACCGTGTATCTGCCTGGCTGCAGGAGGTCGAGCACACTGCACCCACAACAAGCTCGCCAACCCTCGAGGGCTTAGGGCTAAGGGGTCTATAGGTTTTTCTGGGTTGGCCTTTAAACACCCGGAAAAAATTATATAGAGGGTCCCTTATAAACCCAAATAAGGAAAATAAAAAATGTCCTAAAATCCAACCTAGTTTTGTGAATACCGTTTAAGTTAAAGGGTATTTAACCACGTCAGAGAATCCCATATGGCTTGTTCGTGTGTTTATCAAAGGGGAAAAGGTCGGACGGACCCTTAATGGGTACCCCTACCCTATAATGGGCTATATAATGGGTATATAATAGCTATATTAAGGGTATATACCTAGGGGTCCTTATTAAGGGTCCCTCCTTTTCCCCTTTGAGCTTACGGTTTTTATCGCCCATGTGTGGCTCTAAATGACCCAAGTGTTCTACGGACCTAAAGAGATTTGTCTGACGGTTGGTAGGGCTTTGGGATTTAAGGTTTCAGGGCTTCAGGGTGTAGACCTTGGGTCTTTAGAGTCTAAGTGGTTAGGATGGAAGGGAGCTCACCTTACTCCTCCAACTAAAGGGTATACTGAAACCACATCACGGATCCTGAGGCCTAGTCCTTGAACAAGGTATCAAAACAAGAAAAAATCGCGTCCGGACAACGCGACCTTGCAGCGCGCTAGAGATGAAGCTATGTTGCCTTTATTAAGGGGCTTGCGGGAATGCTTATAAAGATCAAGGCGTAGCGGGTTTCTGTTCTTGTCAGTCCTCTAAACCCTGAACTCGAAACCCTACATACTAAACCCTAAAGCCTGACCCTCAACCAACCCCTGACCGCGCCTCGGCGGGCAGTTTCAAGCCCTCTCCCTGGTCTACCTCGAGCGGCGGGAGGACCACCATTTCGTCCTGTCTCGGGATCCGCGAAGCTTTCGGGCTTTGGGTCTAGAGTTTATAGAGTCTCGGCATTTAGGGTTTAGGGTTTAGGGTTTAGGGTTTTGGGTTTAGGGTTTAGGGTTTAGGGTTTAGGGTTTAGGGCTAAAGGTTTAGAGTTTTGGGGTTTGGGGGTTTGGTGACGATGACAGTAGTCGTTTCGGGTTCAACGGCGCTCAGGCTTTAGATCTGACGGGGATTGAGTTCGAGGGTCTAGGTTGCAAAGACTAAAGACTTTCTTTCTGTGGGGCGAATTGCGCCCGACGTAAAAGAACGTACCAGGGTCTGGGTTCACTCACGCTGCGGGCTTGAGGGTTAGTAGATGAGTGCTATGCCCGTTTAGTGGCTTCTCCAAATGCCAGTTTATCCAGTCGCCTGTCGAGCCGATTGTGTCCGAGGTCTTGCGCCCGGAAGGCACGGTGTCGACCGACTTGAGCTGCGATGCGCTGCGCGACGGACCCTGCTCGCTTGCCAGCTTCCCACACGAAACGTGCGCTGCCAACAAGCCACACTGCCATAGTGCGGGAAGCACAAAACTACTCCTGCGAGCCAACACCTGCGTCAGGTCCTGAAGCTGTTCAACAAGACCCAGACCGGCAAGAAGCTTGTTACAGGCTTCCGCTCGAACTAGCGCAGTACGAGCTTCGCAGATGGACTGTGAATTGACGGCAACCGCCACTCTGTTCCACAAGGCGTCTTGGGATCCTGCTTCGCCAAGCATCATAGGGAAGCCGAGCCTTACACCTCTTCTCGTCGCCGTGCAGCCATATAAGCTGCATTTTTCGCGTGTTCCTGGCAACGCCTCGCTTTGGGTTTGAGGTCGCGAGGGCACTCCCGCAAATAGACGGTGTGTTGCCAACAGCTGCCGCGCTGAGATTAAGGATTCAAGTTAGGGCTTATAGGGTTTAAGGCTTGGGTTTAGGGCTGAGAGCTTAGGGTTTAGATGGCTTTAAGGTTTTAGGGAATTGGAGTGCCTGCGTCCTGCTTTAAGAATGGAAAACTAGGTTGTACGTCTGTGTCCGTGTCTCATCTTCTGTTCATGGTCGGGGTGACAGCTCATACTCATGCTGAGGCAGGGTCGTGTGTGCGCGCGGCCTTCGAGAGTTTGGATACACGTTGCTTTGTTGGGAAAAGTGGTGCTGCGAGTGTGTACATGTGGGCATGCTTACAGAATGCTACTGATAAAAAAACACCCGACACTACAGCGAGTGGAAGAAGATCAGGCAAAGCATTGACAATGTCCATCCGCGAACAAATTCATACAAATAGGCTGTTTGCCAAGTTATACTACACATAGATACAGGTCGGCCGCTAAGTATTCGAGATCCCGTAATAAAGGGACCTTAAAACTCGGAATACTTTTTTTGGTGCATGTTGTAGTATGCACACATTAACAAACGCTAACGAAGAAAAGCAGTACTACCCATATTGTTTCTCCACATCTAGACTAGAATCTAGATGCTCCAAGCCGCAGCCATAAAAGCCTGCACACCCTCCTCCCCAACCCTAAACCCTAAACTCTAAACCGCAAACCCTAAACCCGAACGAAACCCGAAACCCTGAACCCTACAGCCAAAAATCCAACGCCGCAAGTTTTCGGATTTCAGGAACCGAGACTAAACGGGTGATAGCCTGAGTGTTGATATTCAAATTGTAAGAAATTTAGATTGGGCCTGGGTTTAGGAGTTAAGCTTTAGGGCATGTAGGGATGCAAGACCGGCTAACTATCCAAACCTCAGCTAAACTGTATGGGAGTGTGCAGGACTTGCCCCAAAGCAAAACGACTACTAAACCCATTGAAAACGTCAAGTCATTATTACGTAAGTCTGGAATCCAGAACCGTGGTACTCCATCCCCTGAGCCCTGAACCCTAAACTCCTGCATCCTACCGTCACAGAACAGGACAGTCCTTAGGAGGTGTGTCCCAAACTTCTTCCCGCACCTGGCAAGAAGCCAGGTATGTAGAATTCCTAGCTGCCGACAAACAGGGGCAAACTGTAGCAGGTGTGGTGTGGGGAGCATAATCTAGCTTTATTGCTGCATCATGCAGCTACTTCGACGACCACTACTACCACTACTACCGCCACTACCACTACTACGACTACTACTACTACTACTACTACTACTACGACTACTACGACTACTACTACTACTACTACTACTACTACTACTACTACTACTACTACTACTACTCCTACTCCTACTCCTACTCCTACTCCTACTCCTACTCCTACTCCTACTCCTACTCCTACTCCTACTACTACTACTACTACGACTACTACTACTACTACTACTACTACTACTACTACTACTACTACTACTACTACTACTACTACTACTACTATCACCACTTCCACTACTACTCCCCAAGCCTTGAACCCTAAACCCAAGACCCCTTCGAAGGGCTTCCTTCGTGTCTGTGTGGCTTCCTAGTTATACCTGGAGCCGAAAAGACCTACCTTTTGGGGGGTTCCCTATTATGGTTTCTATATATAGTTCCCAAAAAAATAGGTCTTTTCGGCTACAGGTAAGAGGAGTTATGAGTCCCCTAACATGGGTTACAACTATAGTTACCCTGCTTATAGCCCCACTTATAACTCCCCCTGAACCCTATAGAACCCTCAAAGGAACCCCATGACCCCACTAATAGCTACCCATGAACCTCCAAGTACAGGGTCAAAAGGCGCTCTACGAGGTCCGCAGATTTTAAGAGAATCCCCAATTCCCCCGAACCTTTAACTTTAACGGCCTAAGCCTTCAAGCCCTACGTGGAGCTTCATGGGTAGTTATAAGTGTGGTTTTAGAGTTTAGGCTATTAGGGTCTATAAGTACGGAAAATATAGATATAACCCCCTGTTAATTAGGGGACTTCCCGTTTATCCATTGATGAACCTCCAAGTAAGCCCTAAACGCGAAATCCTAAACCTGTAAGTCCTAAAACCCTAAACGCTGGGATGTTGAGGATTATATGGTTATGCGCGGCACACGCACAAAGGACAATGAGCACCGGCTCCCTGAAGCGCGACACCAGGACGCCACCATCAAACACCGAACTAAAGCCCATGCTTTGAAAGCTTCTAAGCACGCGATAGGCCATCCAGCGGTCTCGGTTATGAGACCTGTCCTGAGCTTCTCCGCCCCATCCAAGGCCGACATTGGCGGAATCAGTAGACTGTAGACCCACTGCCAGCACGTGGGTCGACCCACCAGCACCGGGGTCAGCAGACCCACAAGCACCTGAGTGAGTGACGATCAAAACACCCCCAATCCCGTCCTACCGAAATCCCTGAATCTCCCTATCATATCCTTATAAAAACCATATGAAACCTCTAACTTCTCTAAGGATTCCGTAACGATCCCTTAAAGGACCCTCAGAAGGCCCTAAAACAACCCCTATACTGCACAACCCTTCTGCAAAACAAAACCCCAAGCCCAGAACCCTAACCCTAGTCCCTCAGGTTAAGCACTTAAACACTAACTCCGTACACAAAGCTATGCCCCAAGGCCGGAAGCTGCCTTCAAACCGTACCCTAAGCCCTATATGCCCCTATGCAAAGCACAACCCTAAACCCTAAACCCATATTCAAACTTAAACCCTTGTAGTAACCCCCTACTGTATAGTCAATAGCAACCCTGAGAAAACCCTAAACCCTAAACCCCTTAGGAAAACCCTAAACCCTAAACCCCTTAGGAAAACCTAAACCCTAAACCCCTTAGAAAAACCCTAAACCCTACACCTTAAACCCTAAACCCCCCGTTTAGAAAAACCCTAAGCCCTTTGAAAAAGCCCCGGGGCAGAGCCTCAAAGAGTCGGCTGGAGCCGCTGATGGGAACGATCACCCCGCCCAGGCGCTTGGCGTTGCCACCTTTGAGGGTTTTAGGGGTTCCCTTAAAGGGACTCCATAGGGTTTAGGGGTTCCTTTAAAGGGACTCCATAGGGGGTTTAGGGGTTTAGGGGTTTAGGGTTTGAGGCTTTAGGGTTTAGGGTCTTAGGGTTTTAGGGTTTAGGGCTTCAGGGTTTTAGGGCTTTAGAGTTTTAGGGTTTGGGGTTTACGGTTTGAGGGTTTTAGGGCTTTAGAGTTTTGGGGTTTTAGGGCTTAGGGTTTGAGGGTTTTAGGGGTTTAGGGCTTTAGGGCTTTAGGGTTTTAGGGTTTTGAGGGTTTAGGGCATTAGGGTTTCAGGGGTTTAGTGCTCAGCATTTTTGAGTCTATGGCATGTGGGTTCCTTCAGTGTCTTTGACGGGTCCTTGAAGGGCTCCTTTCAGGGTTCCTTCAAAGGTCCTTAGGACAATTTAGGGCGTGAGGTTACTTTGAGGGTTCCGGTAAGGGCTCCTTTTTAGGCTTCCCCGGCCTTGGCTTCGGGTGAGGGTTTATAGGGTTTAGGATTTAAGGTTTAGGGGTTTAGGATTCGGGGGTTTAGGGGTTTAGGGTTTAGGGGTTTAGGGGTTTAGGGTTTCTACCAGGTTCCTGGGTACCTCGTGCCTGTTAAGGGTTCCTTTCAGGGATCTTTGAAGTTTAGAAGGGTTCCAGCAAGGCAAGGCTTGGCATAAAGGATCCTTCATGGGCTCCTTTTAGGTGCCTTGGGTTTTGAAAAGGTTTATGTTTCCTTGAACTTACGGGTTCCTTGAATCGAAAGAGCTCAACAACACTGCTCTGACCTACCTAATCGGCCCAAGATCCAAGCAATATGAGTTGCTTTCGGTGTCCATCTAGACCCTACCAAGCGCTAAACCCTAAACCCTGACCGCTACACCCTAAACCCTAAACCCCAGCAGGCCCAACATGACCCTGAACCCAAGATCTCCAGGAAGAACGTACCATTCTACTTTCCCCTAAACCCTAAACCCTAAACCCTAAACCCACGACCAACAATGACAAGCAAGTGCGGTACGGTCGTTGCCTCCTGCACACGTTCTTCCTCCACCAGCTGGCCTGAGGGGCCTTCCCACGAGAGACCCTGAACCAGTCGGCCCGCCGCAGATGCTGCCGATGTTCTGTTGCAGACAACTTCTTGCCAGTTTTAGGGGTTCAAGGCAAAGCCTCAACAATCCTGATCCGTGCCAAGACATCCCAAGCGAACCAACAGTGATGGAAACGAACACCGACACAATGAGGCCCCAAAGAATGGCAGCGTCTCGAAGAGGTGGAACCGCGTGGACTGCGATAAAAATCACCAGGCCGACACCCGAAAAGATGGCGAGTATCACGGAGAACTGCTCGGAGTAGGCCTTGGTCCAAATGGCAACGAATCCTCCGGATAGCCGGTCGTCCAACACGGCTTCCATCTCCAAAGCCACCGACCGCCCAAGGGGCTGTGGCTTCGTCGCGGCCGAGACGTGTTCCCAGCCACTGCCCTAAACCCCTAAACCCCCAAACCCCTAAACCCCCAAACCCCTAAATCCTTAAACCCCCAAAACCTAAACCCTTAAACCCTAAGCCCTGAACCCTTGCGAGCCAACCGGCAGCGCTGGTTGTAACCCGCGGGCCCAGGAAGACCATCACTGTACGTTTCAGGCTCCCAGACCTTCCGAAATAATGTAATTATCTTAAATTTTCCGTACTTATCACTTGAAGACTTTAACTAAGTAGCATACCCATATACCTCAAGCATATTAGGGATCCTGTTATCATCCCTCCATTAAGTCATATGCCTCAAATCATATTAGGGATCCTGGGTCCTACTGTAATTCCAGGTGTACATCTTTCAACCCTAAACCCTAAACAATAAACCCTAAACCCTAAACCCTAAACCCGAAGCCCGAAACCCTGAACCCTAAACCCTGAACTCTAAACCCTAAACCCTGAACCCTTGACCGTAAACCCAATTTAGGGATTCGAGGCCTTAAGATCTCACCCGATCACTACCATCACGCAATGCCGTGTCTTTAATTGTTGTGGCTTCTGTCATTCTGACTATTGCTGCTCATCTGCATCGTGTGTCAGTACCATACTACGCGCGCAGGGCTATGCCTGCTTTGGGGTTGAAAGTTACCTTAATCTACCAAAACCTACGTTTTGTTGGGTCCCTATGAATTCCATATTGGGGTTTTACTAAGAACCTACCAAAACCTACTTTTTGCAAAGGGTCCCTGTAAATTCCATATTGGGGTTTTACTAAGAACCTACCAACAAAGTAGGGTTTGGTACGTTCAGAACTCTAAACCCTATACTGAAGGCCAGAAAGTTGGAACGTGGATTTAGGATGATTAGTGCTAGGATTGCCTCTGCTATACCTTAAGGGCATGAGGATAATGGTGTTCCAACTTTCTGGCTTCTACTGTAAACCTAGGATACCCAGTAACCTAAGAATAAAAAGGCCTCTCTTTTTGGTATTGGGTAACTTTATAAGGAACCTAGGACTACAAAAAGGGAATAAGGGTACTACTGGGCATCCTAGAAACCTAAACCCTGTGAATGTTAGGGTTCAAGTTTGGGTGTGCTCTCGGGGCCCGAGCCCGACTCGGGAGCTTCATAGTCACTGGTTTAGGGTTTAGGGCCTGGGGTTTAGGGTTTAGGGCTTAGGGCCTAGGGTTTAGGGCTTAGGGCTTAGGGCCTAGGGTTTAAGGCTTAGGGTTTAGGGCTTAGGGTTTACGGTTTGGGGATTAGGGTTTGGGGTTTAGGGTTTATGCTGCAAAACTATACCAGTCAGCACATGACCCTTTGACTTCCATGCAGCTCACATATTCGATCACTACGTGCCTTTTTTCCAAATGAGACATGAATGCAATAGGGTTTAGGGCTTAGGGTTTGGCATTTAGGGTTTAGGGCTTAGGGTTTAGGGTTGAGGGTCACTGACACCCCAAACCCTATACCGCAAACGCCCTGGACCCTGAAGTCCCACTGCCCTAGATGCCCTAAACTAAACACCCTGCTTGGGTTTAGGGCCCCTAACCCCAAACGCCCTAAATCCCTCACGTCCTACTTGGAGGTTCATGGGGAGATATAAGTGGGATATAAGTATAAGGTAACTATAAGTATAACCCATATTGGGGGACTTGTAACCCCACATATAACTACCCATGAACCTCCAAGTAGGGCCCTAGATACCGAATTCCGGAAACCAGAGTTGCTCGGGGCCCTGGCTGTAATGCATCAGATACCATCCGGGCAGGGTCTCCGGAGGGATGTCCCACGACCTGGGCTGGAAGGTTCCTTTAAAGGGGTCTATACGGGTTACTAGAAGGCATCTATAAGGGTACTATAATTATGTAGGAACCTGACTAAGAAACCTTGGGCCTTTATTATTCCTCATATGAGTCCTAGTATTTTGGGGTTTAAGGCCCAGGCTTTCTTAATCAGGTTCCTACAATAGGGTGCGTTGTTGCATTCCTGTAGGCTTTCATCCGTTATGCCTTTTAGGGTTAACTTGTTGCTCTGAAGGTTCTGTAAGGGGCTATGAAGAGGGTGTTAGTGCTGTTATTGCAGGGCTTGCAATGCGTCTTCAACACCCTAAACCACTTCGTACTTATCCTGATCATTCCTTGGGGGTTTAAGGGAAAACCTTAGGGAAGTTACAGGAAAATAGAGAACCCAAAAAAAGTTACAGGCTGCCTACTCTACTACGTATTCGGCTTGGGTGGCGAAAGCTCAAGTCTCCTCGGCTTAGTCTGCATAGGTCTTATTTTGGGACAATTGTAGTATCCTTAAGGGAGGGGGGTCCAAGGGGGGTATATAGCCTAGTGATCCCTAATTCTCCCTAGTACTCCCTAAGGTTCCCTTACAGTCCCCTAAAGATTCCTTATACCCTCCCCCCTTGAACCACCCTCCCTTAAGGATCCTATAAGACAAAGTCTTGAAACCTATGCCCAAAAAACCAGGACGAATACGACTAATACAGGCGCCTTAGTAATCAGAACAGGGTTTAGGGGCCCACTATGCTGCATTCTTAAGAAGGAGCCCCCCAAATAGTATACAGCATAGGTAATTATTTAGGCCCTTATATTAACATAACTATCGTCATCTTCTTATGGCCGAGAAAAAAGTCGCAAAAAACAGTTCAAAAGCTGCCTGGAGACAAGGTCACCACGCTGGCGGAGATCCCGACTCGCTTCCACTCAAACCTGGTCGCACGGCTGTGGAACCGACCGGGTTTCAGGACTTTTCGGTGCGCATTGAATTTAGGATTTAGAACACATTTTCGAGGGATTGAAAAGAATTTGGAGTGTTTGGAGGCTGCCGCAGTCGTGCAATTCTTGAGACTCCTTGTTGCTAGGATGACACTGGAGTTTGGGGTTTTAGGGTTTAGGGTTTTGGGTTCTGGGGTTGGAGTTCAGGGTTTGCAAACATCCTGAAACCCTAAACCTTTCAAAACCCTAAACCCTGCAACCTCCGAAAACCCTAAAGCCTGAACCCTAAACCCTAACCCTAAACCTGGTACCCAAAAAACCCTAGAACCTCCTAAAACCCCAAACCGTGAACCTTACACTCTAACCCTATATAACCGTAATCCCTAAATCATCCTAAAACCCAGAACCCTAAAAAATATCCTGAAACCCTACAGTAAAGAACCTCCAAAGAACCCTGGGACCTCCCCTAACCCTCAATCCTGAACCCTAATGTAGGAACCTGATTAAGAAACCATGTGCCTTTTTTAGGGTTCCTTGAAACGGGTCTATAATAGGGTTACTACAAGGGATCTATAAGGGTACTATAATAATGTAGGAACCTGATTAAGAAACCTTGTGCCTTTATGAGGGCTCCTTGTATGAGTCCTACTATTTTGGGGGTTAGAGGCCCAGGGTTTTCTTTCCTACATTACACCCTAAACTCAGAATGCCAGGCCAGGCCAGGCCTGTCCTGCGACTACGATCCTCAAGGCTGGGAGCTGCGCCCCAAACCCTCTGGGGCCTAGGGTCTCGGGTGTAGGGTTTTAGTAGGGTTTATATAGGGTTTACGGCTTTAAGGTTTAAAGTTTTAGGGTTTTCGGGTTTAGGGTTTTAGGGTATAGGGTTTAGGGCGTAGGGTTTAGGGCGCAGGGTTCAAGGTTCACGCTGTACCTTGAACTACCAGACACGACTTTTTGTACGGTCTGAATGACATTTTGTGCTAGGGTTGATAATGGGAACCTACAATACCAGTAGGCTATGGTAGCTTGAGGTAGGGCTTTGGGTTTAGGGGTAGCTCTTGTGGAACGTTTGTGTCAAAAGCCTGAAACGCTGTGTCCTCTCAGGGCTTTGCATCCTGGTAGAGCCAGCATAATCTATAGTGTTGAGTCGTTGAAGATGTTGCATACTGGTCAAATAGTCCGTTTGCTCTATCAACTTTTCATGCAGACCTTGTTCGAAAAAACAAACTGTAGTTCAAAGACGTGATTAGGCTCTGAGCGTCTGTGCTTGGCGAAGACGCCTGAGAAAATGGTATAGAGTCTGTGGATTTGGGATGGGGATTTGTGGCTTAGGGCTTCGAGCTCTTAACCTATAAACTTTCTTAAACCCCTGAACCCTCAACCTTATATAAAGAAACCAAAATGCGGACAAAGCACTTGGTTTCAAAGTCGTTGTCATCCGCCACCAGCTTCCATTTCCCTCCAGCCGAGGAGTCACCTAGGGCAGAATCGCTGGCGGACTTCGTCATTGGGGCAAGGGCCGGAGAGGTGAAAGGTTTCTTTACTGTAGGGTTCCTTCAAGGGTTCCTTGTTACAGGGTTCCTGACAGGGTTTCTGACAGGGTTCCTTAAGGGTCCTATAAGGGCACCTTGTATATAGTGTTCCATATGGAATTCCTAATCGTCCTAATTGGGGGGCTCTATGGATGTATGCCTGTAAGGCTTTCATACCGGCTATTCGAGTACCACTATGGGCTATTAGACCCTAAAGATCCCTATTAGGACCCTACTAAGGGTAGATTAAGGTACCCATAAGGTCTAATAGCCCATAGTGGTATGCAGGCCCTGAAGAGCGCCAGTGGCAGGTTTGCGGGCTGGAGCTGACGGGGTCGGGGATGTAACGGTCTTGGATGCAGACTTTTCGGCTCCGGAGTCTTATGGTTCGAAATGTGGGTTTCAGGGTTTGGCTTGGGGTCTTAGGATGAAGGGGCGCACAACTGTTGGGTCTAGGGTTCCCGAGTTTGAGGCTTGAATTTAGGCTTTGGGGGCTTGGAATTTTGGGGCGCAGGGCTTTTAGGCTGAGAGTTTTAGGGTTTTGGGAACAATCGGCAATCGGATTTGAGTCAGGGTTTCGGTGAGTGTAGAAACGTCTGCGTAGGGAGTACAATTCTGGGAGGCGGGCGGGCTCCTGGGGATTTTCAGTGACTGAAGACATTTCATACTTATGATATGCAGTAGGACCTTTACTCCAGTTCTCATAATACTCCCCATTGCATTCAAAGCAAAAGATTCATACTTACAATATGCAGTGGGTCCCGACTCCCAGAGATCCTAATACCCCTTAATTCAGGAATATACCTTAAACCATGATATGGAGGCCTCTACAAGTTAAGGTGCATTCCTTAACTATTGGGTATCGAGATCTTTGGGTTGCATTCCAACAAGAAAAGGCCCACTGAGGCTCCTGCTCGAGTTGTCCGATTCCCAATACCACACCGTGCCAAAGCTGCTGTTCCTCTCTCACCGGCTCAAGGGTTGCTTACCTAGGATACCCAGAAACCTAAGAATAGAAAGGCCTCTCTTCTTGGTATTGGGTAACTTTATAAGGAACCTAGGACTACAAGAAAGGAATAAGGGTACTACTGGGCATCCTAGCTACCTTTGGTTAGTGGGGAATGGAAGAATGGTAGTAATAGTAGTGTTCATTGTACCCCATTCCTCCATTCCCTAGCCAAAGGTAAGGTCAGGGCCTACCTTAACCACCCAGAAAACCTACCGTCTTGGGGATCCGTCATATTGATTTCCTTATATAAGTCCTTCAAAAGCTAGGATGTTCAGGGCTAAGGTAGGGTTTAGGGTCAAGCTGCTGTTCCTCTCACCAGCTCCAGTCTCAGGGCTTGAGGGGGCAAAGCTTATATAGGGGTTTGGGGCTTGCTAAACCCTAAACCCTAAACCCGTTGGGGCTTGTAGGGCTTGGCGGTTGGGCCTGAGGGTTCAGGGCTTAGGGGCTAGATGGAGTTAGAAGTCCCCTCCTGCGCGTTATAACTTTCGCTACCCCACTTATGGCCCCTGAACCCTAAACCCCAAACCCTAAACCCTGAAACCCTAAACCCTAAAACCCTGAACCCTCTAACCCTAAAGCCCTATATAACCCCAATCCCCTATAACCCTGAACCATAGAACCCTAAACCCCAGGACTGTAAACCCTATAACTATAACTGCTACTTATAATAGCTACCCATGCACCTCGGAGCAGAGCGTAGGGCTTCAGGGTGTTGGGCTTGGGGTGTTGGGGCTTGGCGGTTGAGCCTTTAGAGCTTTGGGGCTTAGGGGTTCACGGAGTATAGTCTAAACGTAGGGTTTAGGGGGTCGGGGTTTCAGGATTTCGGATTTAGGGCTTCTGAGCTTTTGGGCTTCTGGTTTGTAGGGCCTTGAGGGCTTTGAGGGCTTAGGGGCTTCTGGGCTTCTGGGAGTCAGATGCAGGGTGCCAGGTTCAAGGTTTACTTAAAGTAAAAGCCAGAAAGTTGGAATATGATTACCCTAAACCCTTTATGGTAAATTATAAGGTATCCTACCCTGAAACCATATTCCAACTTTCTGGAGTTCCCTTTAGTTGCTGAGTTCCTAAGCCCCAAAACGATTGCACTTTCAGTTTTATAGTGGGGAGTGTATCTACTCAGCTACTAGGGTTTAGGGTTTGGGGCTTATAGTGGGTAGTATTATCCCAAAAAGCGTAAAGTGTATCTATTCAGCTTCTAGGGCTTAGGCTTTGGGGCTTCTGGGCATTCAGGGCTTGGCTTTGAGCCCTGAGGTATTGTGCATTATCACGGTGCTGGGGGGGGGGGGGTCTTGTATTATTATCTTATCTATGGTTGGGATAGGATTAAAAAAAAAAGGTACATGTTTAATCCTTATTGGGTTTAAGCAACCATAAAGATGTAAAATGGTACCCAAGGATGACAAAGCTATCCGATGCGTTTCGTAGGAGTGCAAGTGGGCGGATTGGTCCTCCCCAAGCCCGCCTCAGAGTTCTCAAATGTAGAGTTTGGGGGTTATTAGGTACTACGTATGTGCGGTAGGTATGGTAATTAGGTGAGTTCTGGGCTCGGAAATTCGGGGCCTTGAGGGGCAAAGCGGGACCATCATGGACGTGTCAGAAGCTGCCTCATCTCCTTCTGCTTCCTCTGAAAGATGTGGGAGAATTCCAAGGAAGATTCAAGCATTCTCGCCAGAGCTCTTGGCCCTGTGATCAGGTCGTTCAGTAGTTGCTTTACAGGCCAATTAATTCAATGTTGGCCCAGAAACGGCGCTGAACGGAGCGATATCGACGAGGGCGGTCCCACGAGATCAATTGCATGCGAGGGCAAAGTGGGTCGGCAGAACCTCCCGGAGCGGCCAGATTGCAATCGTACAACACCCGCTGCTTCACAGGGCAGCCGTCCGCCACCGCACTCACGATGCTTCGACAGAAGCTGTCGTACAGCTCCTAGTCTAGGCTCCTTTAAGTATCTTTGCAAGGGCTTCCAAACCCCCGGATTAGAGCAGCTAGGGCTTAAAGTTACGGGTTTGAGGCAATTCCCACGAAACTGCTCGCCAAACCAAACGGGCCGTGTCCTTTTGGGGTCGTTCCGCGGGTGGGCGCCCCAGATTTCCACGCGAGCTGTGGCCTGGGACGAGTTTGGCGTCTGGAGCTCCGGTTTTCGGCTTAATATAATTTGCGTTTGGGGATTCCTGGTTATAATCATAGTATAATATACCCCCAAAACCTATTCTAGTTATGACTGCCCCTAGAGTATAGGTTTTGTCAAGGGGCCTGTGAAGCACCCTACACTGGTCATCCAACGTTTGTGTAATGAGAATTCTTTCCGGCTTGGGGCTTTTAATAAGGTATGTTATGCTCATCATTGTCACAAACACACAATGCTTACAAAGGGATTCTGAGGGGATTTTTTCACTTACCATTCAGACCCCTATACTAGGGTTCGGGTTCAGGATTCAAGGTTGAGGGCTTAGGCTGCAGGATGCCGTCAGGATCCCAAACCCTTACGAAAACGACGGAAACCACTACGTAGGGCCCCTACCCATGGGGCTTTTCAAGGGCTGCTGCTCTTGGGCTTGAATAGATAGGGTTCCTACATTGCTTTTTTTTTTTGCAAAAAAGACCTAGCGCTTAGGGCTTACGGTCGCTATCCTCCTTTGACAAAAACAAGGATGCTCAGCTCGGCTACCTACCTAGTCTCCCCTGAGAACCTCCACGAGTTGAAGAAGAGGTTTTGTTTTTTAAGGGCCCTTTAAGAAGAGGTTTGCAGTTTAGGGTTTGGGGTTTAGGGTTTAGGGCTTAGGGTATAGGGTTTAAGGCTTCGGACGTGGAGTTTGGGGTTTCGGGTTTAGGGTTTAGGGTTTAGGGACTGTCGCAAAGCTCGATGTACCGCCCCTAAACCTAAACCAACCCGAAAATTATAGATCGTAAACGACAAGCAGCCTGGAATTACAGATCATACAGCTCTACTACAACCCTTAAACCCACCCTATAACCCTAGACTATAGGCCCTCTCACCTTAAACCCTGAACCCCAAACCTTAAAACCTTAAATCCTAGGTAAACCCTGAACCTTAAAACCTTAAACCCTGAACCCTAAACTTTAAACCTTAAACCCTAAACCCTAAACCTTAAAACCCTAAACCCTAACCATAAAACCCGAAAACCCAAGCCTTAAAACCCTAAAACCCTAAACCCTAAACCCTGGACGAGACGGCCCTCTAAAGCAAGGCTTGTACGAAGGTCGAGCGGCTCCGGGGTGGTAAGTGCCCGGTGTGACGTCCTGCTTCACATCACCGAACCTGAGTTCTTTAGGGTTACCTCAAGCCGGAATAACCTACCTTTTTAGGTTTCCGTACTATGATTTCCATATATAAGTCCTTAAAGAGGTAGATTATTCCGGCTTAAGGTAGGGCTTAGGATTTTTACAGTGTGTCGGACCTTCAACTCTGCCAACGCATCGCGAGCAGCCCACCCTAAAGGGCGCACACTAGCTCGGGTTTGGGGTTTAGGGATCCGGTTTAATCCCTTCACACGCGTATTAAGTATGCCCCCTAATAATAAAAACGCTTTGGGGCCAATCCTCCCGAAATCACACCTGCCCTTTAAAACCTAATTTGCAGTAGGGGGGTCCGGAGCAAGAGCAGGAGCAAGAGCTGGAGTAAGAGCAAGAGCAATAGGAAGAGCAAAACAGGAGGAAGAGCAGGAGCAGCAGCAAGAGCAAGAGCAGGCGCAGAAGCGAGAGAGCGCGCGAGCAAGAGCAAGAGCCCTTAAAAGTGACGGTAAGAAAAATACCCCCAATAATAGAAACACTCTCCGAGTTTGTAGGGGGGAGACCGTCCCCCCGTTTCTATATCAGGTGGAAGGGATAATGAGAGTCTTGAGGAGAAGCTTACGAAGGGTTTTTGACGGGGTATTTTGGGGTTCCATGTCTAATGGAATTTACCATGGACTACCAAGAGGCGCAGGCATGCAAACACTTGATTTGGGTTATCTGTGACTGCATGGCTAGCAAACCTCTGGGAGTAGAGGGTTTTGGTGTGCAGGTTTTTTTGGGGTTCGTACGGCTTGGCGAAAAGTTTTATACAGCTGCAAAACTTAGGGTGTTTCAGGATACGAGTGTCAAGGTCCAGGCAACGGCTAGCTTAAAAGCCCCTACAGTAGAAGACTAAAAGTTGGAAACCCAATAGCCTCACCTTAAGATTAATGTGGGTTTAGGGTTTAGGGTTTAGGGTTTAGGGTTTAGGGTTTAGGGTTTAGGGTTTAGGGTTTAGGGTAAGAGTAATGTGTAGGGAATCCCAGCACTATTTGGCCTTAAATATGGTTTCCAACTTTATGGGTATTGCTGTAAGCACAAGCCCCGAACCTAAACCCCAAACCGTAGACTCTAAACCCTCAAGCCTCAACCGAAAACCCTACACTCTGTCTCCCAGACCTTCCAAAATCCCTTAATTAAGGAATATAGCTTAAATCATATTGGGGATCCGATTATAATTTAAGGTATATTCCTTAATTAAGGGATTTTGGAAGGTCTGGGCTCCTGCAATCCTACCAAAGACGAGGCGGTGACTTGCCCCCCATGGGCGGATCATCCACTACCACCTGCAGGGTTCATTTGTTCAACGTTCGGGGGTTGGGGTTTGGGGGTTTAGGGTTTAGGGTTTATGACTTAGAGTTCGGGGTTCGGCTCAAACCTGACACTTCGCCCACTCTAGCCCTAAACTCTAGTGATGGGAGGCCAAAAGGGGGATTTAAGATTCTTGGGGTAGGGATTCCTTAATGTGAACCCTATAATGGGAACCCTAATCCCACTAAACCCCCATAGACTAAAACCCGTTTTGGCCTCCTATGATCTAGAAGCCTCGAAGCTCAAAGCGGCTTCTGCGGTTTGGGGTTTCAGGTCCACGGGGAGTGCACTGCAGAGCCCGGATTCTCAGACTCTCGTCCCTGAAGATAAACAGCTCTAGACCCCAACGCCGAAATCAACACCGAAGGGTGCACGCAGTCGTTACTAATGGTTCTCCCTCAACCCTAATTCCCCTAAACCCCAATACCCTAAACCCCTAAACTCTGAACCCGAAAGCCCCAAAACCCTAAACCCCTCAACCCTAATCCTCAAGCTCCAAAACCCTAAACTCCTAAACCCCGGAGTCCGGAAGGCAATCATTGCCAGGTCGGGAGGGTTTGGGGTTTAGGGTTCAGGGTTTAGGGGGTTTAGGGGGTTTAGGGGGTTTAGGGGGTTTAGGCTTTAGGTTTTAGGGGCAAGTTGAGCAACAGCGACTGAAATTGCCCAAGTGTCGAATGGTCGCCGACTGCCATGGCGCGGATGCCGTTGCGATGGCGTGCCCCACTGCCTTAAAGGCTGGGTGAGAAGGAACATGCAACAGATCCTCCAGTGAATCTCAAGAACTCTGTGTTGCTGTTGGGAACCAAATCTTCAGCCGGCTGCTCATGTGCTTCCGCCCTTGAATTGAGTGGACACAGGTCTTCAAAAGTCCTCCCATGCCATGACGGTAACTTCAAACGAACTCTTCTCGTCGTCGATCGTGCTCGGTCTCAAGCTCAGCACGTGGAGTCTCATGTGGTTGCAGCTGTCCAGATGCCAATCAAACCGAAAGTGACAAACCCGGCAATCTCAAACTCCCAGAGCCTAAGCCCAAATCTCGACCTCCTTTGCCCTCGTTCTTCCAATCCCTAAGAGCCTGAAACCTAAAGACTATATCATAAAATCCTAAACCTTTGTTTACGGTTCAACCGTTGTTTAGGGTTTAGGTTGGGTTTAGGGTTGAGGGTCGAGGGTTGAGGTTTTAGGGTGTAGGGTTGAGGGTTGAGGGTTTCGAGTAAGGGTCCGATAGCTTTGGCTTTGGGGTTTAGGGTTTATTATAGGATCCTTAAGGGGGGGTGGTTCAAGGGGGGAGGGTACTAGGGAGCTTTGGGGAACCTTAGGGAAGCTTAGGGAGTATTGGGGAATAATGGGGATTACTAGGTTCCCTACCCCCCCTTGGACCACCCCCCCTTAAGGACATCCTAATCCACACATGGAACCGTTGGCTACTTGGCCCAGCAAGCCGAACGCTTCACCTTCGGCACAAATACTTGAAATCGAACCCCCAAGCCCGAAACCTAAACCCAAGCTCCAAACCCCGTCTAAACCCTAAAACCCGAAAGCCCTATAAGCCTTAACCCTAAACCCTCTTACAAGTATATAGAACCCTTATGGATCCCTTCAAAGGATCCCCTCAAAGGAGTGTAAGGCCCCTTAACCCGAACCCCAAAGCCCTAAAACCTAAACCCCAAGACTCTAAACCCTGAATCCTAAACAACCCCCCCTCCTCCAAAAAAAAACTTTGGTCTTTTGCCCCTAAGCCCAAAAGAGAACAACACGTTGGACATCCAGTCGCCTCGGCCTGGCCCTCCACCATCCTCGCCTTTTAAAGGGGGGGGTCCTTATCGGAGCTCTTAAAGGAACCCATATGATACCCTTTAAAGGAACCCCTGAGAAGAATCCTTAAGGGAATCCTTGAGAGAACCCTTAAAGGAATCCTTAAAGGAACCCATATGATACCCTTTAAAGGAACCCCTTAGAAGAGTCCTTAAGGGAATCCTTGAGGGAATCCTTGGAATCCTTAAGGCCTTAAGGGAACCCATATCATATAGGTACCCTTTAAAGGAACCCTTAGAAGAATCCTTAGGGGAATCCTTAGAGGTCTAGGGTTCAAACCCCGGATATCAGGCTGAGGGTCCAGGAAGTAGTTAGGGTCAAGAGTTCAACTCTACTCCCCTTGACAGGTAAGCAAAAAACTACTTTTTCGGAGACCCCTATAAAGAAGACCGGAACCAAAAAAGGAACAAAGTAACAAAGTCTCCAGGAGCCTTAAAGAAGAGTTCAGGGTGTGTTAGGTCCATGCTAAAAGCGTTTTGCAGATTAAGGCAGGTCATACGCAGAGCCATAAGAACGCGACTTTCTTGGGCTTAAACTAAGCCCCAAAACCTAAACGCCAAAAGCTGCAGAACTAAATGCCACAACCTGAACCCAAGGCCAAAAACACGCAACCACGCACGAAGTGCACTGATCATTCCAGTATGAGACCATCCCAGGCAGCCATAGATTAAGGCTTCTACAAAGGTTCACACAGGGCTTGTAGGGTTTTAACGTGTAGGGTCTGGGGGAAGTTCTCTACATGGGTGTGGGGGGAACCCGCAAAGATACCCTCACTATCACTCACAAGTATTCCTGCGGAATGCAGAAGGTTCGAAGACTGCACATACGAGCTTTGGGCTTAGCCAAAGACGCCGAGAGCACCCTAATGTAGGAACCTGATTAAGAAACCCTGGGCCTATAACGCCAAAATAGTAGGATTCATATAAGGAACCCTACTAAACGCCCAAGGTTTCTTAATCAGGTTCCTACATTATGCCTTTCGAAGAAGGAACCACTAGGATACCCAGTGACCTAAGAATAAAACGACCTCTCTTTTTGGGATTGGGTAACTTTATAAGGAACCTGGGACTACAAAAAGGGAATAAGGGTACTACTGGAGATCCTAGTTATGCTTTCGAAGAAGGAGCCATGAGGAACAGAAATCCTGAGAGAAGGAGATCCTTGGACGAAAAAGAACCCCTCGGCTGAGATGCCACAACATCGGGGTTTGGGGTTAGGGCCTACCCAGACCTTCCAAAGTCCTTTAATTAAGGAATATACCTTAAATTAGAATAGGATCCCAAATATGATTTAAGGTATATTCCTTAATTAAGGGATTTTGGAAGGTCTGGGTAATTATATAGGGGTTTCAGGGTCTGGGATTTGGGGTTTAGGGTTCAGGGTTAACTCCAAACCCACTTCGGTAACATTCTATTTGGAGTATCATGGGACTTGGCAGCCAGGGGTAAAAATGAAGTAACTGTAGATATCAAAACTTCAGCTAACGTAGTTATAGCCTTACCCACAAACTCCCATGATCCTCCGTAGCCGTAAACCCTAAACCCTGCGCCTGCGCCCTGAACCCTAAACCCTAACCGCCCTAACCCTGAACCCTAAACTCGAAACCCAAAGCCCTAAACCCTAAACAATGAGCCCTGAACCCCAAACTCTAACCCTAAACCCTAACCCTAAACCCCGAACCCTTAACCCGAAATCCCTTCGAGGTCGCTGGGAGCTCGGGCGCCGGTAGGCAGCTTCGGCTTCATGCCGGGAAAAGTGTGCTTTCCATCCGCCACGTCCTGTTTCGGATATTGTCCAAGGGTAAAAGGAGGGACCCTTTATTGAGGACCCCTAGGTATATACCCTAAATATAGCTATTATATACCCATTATACTGTTCATGACAGGGTAGGGGTCCCTATTAAGGTCCCTCCTTTGATATTAGGATGTGGGGTTCAGGGTTCAGGGTTTAGGGGATTTTGGGGTTTAGGAATTTAGGGTTTTGGGATTTAGTATTTTGGGGCTTGTGGGGTTTAGGGTTCAGGGCAAAGGGGATTTAGGGTTCAGGAATTTAAGTTAAATTCCTCAATCCGACGCCCCAACGGGTCTTTTGAGGGTTCGGGTTTGGGGCCTCGTGTTTGAGGTTTGGAGCCTTTTAAAGAACTTTCCGCTGCTACGGGCCGTGGCAGGTTGTGCGCAGGGCAGGGCAGGGCGCAAAACAGGGCACGGGAGGGCAAGAACCAAACGTCGGGTGAGCTCGGGTGGGGATAGTGATTTTGGTACCCTCGCTATTTCAAGCATTTCGGGGTGAGCCCGGGTGAGGTCGCTATAATTTAGCCAGTTTAAGGTTTTGAGGGTTTAGGATTTTGGGATTGAGGGCTTTCCGTTCAGTTTTCTTCCGCAACAGTGTTTGATGACGGAAGTAATCCGTTCGAGGCTTGAAAATTTGTCGACAAGTTCTATGAATGTTTTACTTGGGCTTTAATGCCTGATGGAGTAAAGTTCGGACATCCATATGCAAAGCAGGATTGCGGGCTGCACGAGCGGGTTCTGACATGCTTACATGAAGTCGGACTTCTGTAAAAACATCCAGGTCACAATACCCAAAAAATCCCTATATGCACTTACACAATTCCTTTTAGACACCCTATCTCATTGACTACAGCAATCTTGTTTACGCAGCTCTCTTCTGTGGAGAGAGAGAGACCGGGCCTGAAACAGCATAGACCGTAGCGGTTTATAGGGAACTCCAGAAAGTTGGAATATGGTTTCAGGGTAGGATACCCTATAATTTCCATAGAAGGGTTAGGAGAATCACATTCCAACTTTCTGGCTTTTACCTTAAGGGTTTAGGTTTAGCCAGGCTTCTCCGACTGACAGTAAGATGACTAACCCGAATGCTCAGACAGGGTTCGGAGTTGAAGGTTTAGGTTTTGGGTTTAAGGGCTTCAAGGCTTCAGGGCTAAACTCGGGTTTAGGGTTCAGGGTCCCTTCTGGCCCGCTGCTTCCCTGTATTCGGCCTTGATTGTGGAACCTACGGAATGCAGACGATTGAGGCAAAACCGCAAACCCTAGACCTTAAACCTAAACCCTCAACCCCAAAACCCTAAAGCTCTCATCAGACGTATCAAAACCAGCCGAAAGCCTCTCCACGACTGGCGTCTGAACAAGTAGGAGTGATAGGGTTACGGGTGATGGTTCAGAGTTTGGGGCACTGACTGCACGCGGAGGTCTCCGAAAATTGGGGGAATCTTATTTCGGGGTGCGTATAATAAGGATCCTACTATACGTGTGCTTTCGACTGTAGAGCCTGGTTTGACGTGGGGTGACTACAAGAGCTGAGGGTGTAGGATGTAGGCGTCGGGTTTAAGGCTTCAGGTTTCAGAGTTAGGGTTTCGGAAGGGTCGAGGATTTCGGATTTCAGGTCAAGGGCTAATACTTCATACGGTTTGGGCATGCTGGGTTTGGGGTCGCTGGAACTGTCCTGTGCCATCTCCACAAGTATTTGAGTCATCGCCTGCCAGACAGCTCTTTGTAATCTAAGGCCCGCAGTGCTTTGAATAGGGTTTCGGGGTGTATTAGAGTATAACTGTAGATGTAGAAGGAATACTGTAGTCAGTTTTCTTCGACCTCGGTAGTACTTCCTGAACCCTAAACCCTGCAAATTGACAAAACCTTGGGTACTGCCCCAAAACAGCAACAGTCTATAATGGGGCTACTATAAAGAGCCTAACATAACTTTTTTGTATGATGAGTACTATTCAACTGACTGTTACTGAGTTGGGGCAGTACCCGACCTAAACCCTTCAAATTGGCAATCTCTTCTTCAACAACGCGGCCCCAAAAAGTTCAATCTTTTTAAGAAAGAGCTAATATATAAGGCCCAAAAGTTTAAAGTTCCCCTGTTCACTATCTAAGGCAAAACCTGAGGGTTCGAAGCCTAGGGCGGAGCAGCAGACCGACCTATGGTCCCTGGTGCTTAGCAGGGAAGGGGGAAATGGATGATGGGGACTACTATTGGGAATTATATACTTGGAGTTTCATGGGGAATTATAAATGGAGTGAAAAGTCTCCTAATTTGGGTTATAGTTATAACTATAGATACCAGATTTTTTTACCACACTTCTAACTACCCATGAACCTCCAAGTAGGGACTACTGCAGGGATCCATTCCCCCATTCCCTACTAAATTTAGGTTTTGCAGGTTGGGGTTTAGAGGCTTCTTCCCCTTGTACTTATAGTAGAACCCAGAAAGTTGGAACATGGCTTTAGGAGGATTGGTGGTAGGATCCCATATACTTTACCTTAAAGGGAACTCCAGAAAGTTGGAATATGGTTTCAGGGTAGGATACCTTATAATTTACCATAGAAGGGTTAGGATAATCATATTCCAACTTTCTGGCTTCTACCTTAAGGGTATGAGGACAATGATGTTCCAACTTTCTGGCTTCTACTACAAGCCCTGTAACATCTAAACCCTGGCGCGTGACCCACCCCTAAACCTGCAACCGTTGGGTTTCGGGTTCAGGGTTCCGACTTTATTGCGGGAAGGGTTGCGGGCTGTTGGGTTTTAGAGCTATGGTACCGTAGTTATCCTAGTTTCGGAGGGTTTTGGTTTTGGGTTTGTCTCTACTCCCCTTGGAAGGTAAGCAAAAAACTACTTTTTTCGGAGACCCCTATAAAAGAAGACCTGAACCAAAAAAGGAACAAAGTAACAAAGTCTCCAAGAGCCTTAAAGTTGTCAGGAGTTGAGGCGTGGCTTGCGGCTGGCTTACCTAGACACACTGGACCAACAACGCGACTCCAAAGGTTCCCCGAAGAGGAAATCCACCATACCTCAGATTTTACTACTATTTGCTTAAGAACACCAAAAAAATAAAAAATATATTCCTTATGGGGGTCATATAGGGATTATTGTTTTTATTTTTTGGGTGGTTTCTTAAGCAAATAGTAGTTTACAGGAGCTCTTAAGCATCAGCATAAGGTTTTCGGATACCTTACGTTGTAAGTGCAGTGGTTAACCCCAAAATATAGCAATACTACTTCTTCCGATCCCTAGATTACGGTCCATTGTACGTCTGGCAGAACCCGACAATTACTGAAACTGAAAGCACCCTTAATTCAGGGCTCGCCCTCAACAGTTGTGGGAAGCCGCAAGAAGAGGTTCTTGAGGGAGATACTGGCTATATGCGAACCGCACTTGGCTATGGCTTAGCTTCGCGGATGAGCAGGCTAAGCCAGCAGGTCATGAGTCATAACAAGTAGTAGGGTTGTAAAGCACCCGAAGTTGGGTTGTATATCTTACACACAGACTTTGCTTGAAACCTACTTACTAAGTCCCCTTCTACGCAGTTGCCCGAAAGTACATAAACGGTCTTCGCCTTCTAGGACGGCATAAAACAAAGCTCCGGTAACCCCTATAAACACCCATAAGCTCCCCCCCCGTCCTCCAAAAAAACATGGGAAACCGTATAACTGAAGCCGCTTAAAACCGCATACGTGAAGCCGCTGAACACCCTACAAAACACCAGTAAAAACTGATAGAACACACCGTCACGAATTTCGGGCCTTGTGCGTGTGAGGGCCATACGCCGTAAAGCCGCCTTCATACCGCTGGTGCTGATACTCCTGTGGCTGCTTCTTGGAGGTTCATGGGTAGTCATGGTGTATAGGGTCTTTACGAGGGTTTATACGGGCCGTGGATATATACACCCAAATCCAACATTCTTAATTAAGACTTCTATCGTAAGGGATACCCTTCCAAACACCTTAGAGGAGCCCTTGCAAAATTGCTAAACAAATCTGCAAGGAACCGTTGAAGGACCCTCTAAGGGCGCGCCGGAGGTCCTCAAAGGTGGTGACATAGCCGGCGTAGCCTTGGTTTGGGTAGCATGATGAGGGAGATCTCTTAACTACTATTTGCTTAAGAAACCCCCAAAAAATGAAAATAATAATCCCTATATTACCCCCATAAGGAATATATTTTTTAATTCCCGAAAGCATCGCGAAGGGTTCTTCCGTGTGGAACGCCGCAGCTGAGTACATAGATGACAGACATAGAATCAACTTACTTGACTCCGTACTTTACTCTACACTTGATACTTGACTCTACACTTGATACTTACTTACTTACTTGACCCCTATGACTGACTCTCTACACTTGACACTTGACTCTATGATACTTGACTCTACACTTGATACTTGACTCTATGTTATGCTTACGACTTACTTACTTACTTACTTACTTCAATCTACTTACTAACTTACTTGACACTTGACACTGGACTCTATGCTATCTCTATACTTACTTATACTTACTTATACTTACTTACTTACTTACTTGCTTGACTTGCTTAGTTACTTACTTACTTACCTACTTACTTACTTTTACTTACTTACTTACTTACTTACTTGACTCTATGCCTCTATTGCCTCTATGACTTACTCTCTACATCTCGGTATCTAATTCTCTCTTTTAAAGCCAGGGGGTGGCACCGTTGTCGTCCATCGGGAATGCAACCCTTCCCAGGGATTCGCCTCCTCGGGCGTTCAAACGCGAGGTAAAGTTACACATTTTAGGGTTCCCGCGCAACCCTTCCCAGGGATTCGCTGCCTCGGGCGTTCAAACGCGAGGTAAAGTTACACATTTTAGGCGCCCGGGTGAACCCTTCACAGGGATTGGCATGGGCGAGGGCCCAAACGCTAGGTAAAGTTACACATTTTTTAACTTATTAGGCGCCCGGGTGAACCCTTCACAGGGATTCGCTGCCTCGGGCGTTCAAACGCGAGGTAAAGTTACACATTTTAGGCGCCCGGGTGAACCCTTCACAAGGATTCGCTGCCTCGGGCGTTCAAACGCGAGGTAAAGTTACACATTTTAGGCGCCCGGGTGAACCCTTCACAAGGATTCGCTGCCTCGGGCGTTCAAACGCGAGGTAAAGTTACACATTTTAGGCGCCCGGGTGAACCCTTCACAGGGATTCGCTGCCTCGGGCGTTCAAACGCGAGGTAAAGTTACACATTTTGCGGTTCCCGCGCAACCCTTCACAGGGATTGGAACTCTCGGGCGTTCAAACGCGAGGTAAAGTTACACATTTTGCGGGCGCCGCGCAACCCTTCACAGGGTTTGGGTGCAGTTCATTTTTTTTTTGCAACCCTTCACAGGGATTGGCATTTTGCAACCCTTCACAGGGATTGGCGTGGTCGGGTGTTCGAACGCGAGGTAAAGTTGCATTTTTTGACGAGCATTGAGATGGATTATTTTATGTGCATTGAAATGAATTTTGCAACCCTTCACAGGGATTGGCGTGGTCGGGTGTTCGAACGCGAGGTAAAGTTGCATTTTTTGATGTGCATTGAGCTGAATTTTGCAACCCTTCACAGGGATTGGCGTGGTGGAGTGTTCGAACGCGAGGTAAAGTTGCAATTTTTGATGAGCATTGAGATGAATTTTGCAACCCCTCACAGGGATTGGCGTGGTCGAGTGTTCGAACGCGAGGTAAAGTTGCATTTTTTGATGAGCATTGAGATGAATTTTGCAACCCTTCACACAGATTGGCGTTGTCGAGTGTTCGAGCGCGAGGTGAAGTTACACATTTTGGTGCATGGTACATAGATGACTCCATGACTCTGTGACTCTATCTCACTATGACTCTATGACGCTATCTCACTGCAACTCTATGACTTTATGACTCATGACTCATGGACTCTATGACTCTTGACTGTATCTGCATCTCGAGGTCCAGGTCAGGCTATGAGCCCTCACGCTATGGGGATCTCGATTAAGCGTTCCCAAACATAGAGCATAGAGTGAACTACATCGAGTCAAGTGCATGGTACATAGATGACTCCATGACTCTGTGACTCTATCTCACTATGACTCTATGACGCTATCTCACTGTAACTCTATGACTTTATGACTCATGACTCATGGACTCTATGACTCTTGATTCTGTGACTTTACGATCCTATACACTGGATCTATCACATAGCCCCACAATCTTCGCTGATGATGCTTTCGGGCCAATTGTCTTCTAGTTTTTTGGGGTTCTTAAGCAAATAGTAGTTAAAGGGTACCCCTTCCGAACCCTACTTCTGGCTCTCTTAAAAAGGATCTTATCGAGAGGGTCTATATCCCCGAGGGTCCCCCAAATCCTATCTTTCATGGTTGTGCACTCGCTGTGGGGTTTGGGGTGTTTCCGACGATGTCTGGCTACTGCTAATTGGAGTTCAAGGTTCTGGGTTTCGGGCTATAATAGCTTTCCGGGATAACGCTGTACTAAACCCCAAACACTGTTGAAGGCCGAGGGTGCAGGAGCAGGCTTTCGTATCCCTCTGCCCGGAACCGTCAACCCATGAACACGCTGAGCCCTAAACCCTATAAACCCGACACTCATCCCTACCCTACTAGTAACTTCATCTAAACCCTAAACCTACCTACGCCTACTGACTATGTCCCCTGACCCTTGAAGTAGTAGCCCTGTCTTAGACTAGGAGCGTTCCAAGAGGCCCAAAAGCTGCGTGTGCCTTGAACGGGTTCAACACTAAGTCTAAGTCCCTCGACTCTATGGATAAATAACCCTAGAAAGCAACTCCAAAACAACTTAAGCATTGCCGCCAGCTACTCCGAGTGCCTCAGACCCCTGATCGCTAAACCCTGGACCCCAAGTGCTAAACCCTAAACCCTCACTGGTAGCCCTTATAGTAGCCCTTATACTTGCAGTTTCACATTGTAACCTTAAAGGAATGCTTAAAGAGTCTTTTTCAAGGAATCCCGAAACCCGAAACCTGAAGAGGTGCATCAACACACCCTAAGCCCTGAACCCCAAACCCTAAACTCCTAAACCCTAAACCAAAACAGGCTAAAGCCCAGGGGGCCACTCGCCACGTTGTTCAGCACCTTGCGGTCATCACCGGGGTTCTCTCTCTCTTCTTCAACTGTAACAATTCGGCGAAAAAAGAAAACTGACGTAGAGGCCAAAAAGTTGAAAGTTCTCCCATTAGCTCTCTAGGTTTCCTGGGGTGCGCGATGAGCTTGCTGGAATAGCCCAGACCCACGGGAGGATCTAGAAAGTAGATCCCCTGATTTGGGGCCCTATACTACTAAGGGTACGTTACCCATTAAGGGATATATCTTAAACCCTAAACCCTAAAATCCTATAGATCCCTTAAAGGGACCCTTAAAGGAACCCCTAAAGGAACCCCCATTAAGGGATCTACTTTTTGGATCCTCCAAAGGGGCTCTGGGAGTCTAGGCTGGGGATTAAGGATCCCGCGAACAGGCTCGGGGTTTAGAGTCTCGCAGCTTTTCAAGGTTTGTATAGGGTTCCTTATATGATTTCGTTATATAAGGCCTTAAACAGGTAGGTTACGTGGGTTTATCGGTTTAGAATTTAGGATTCAAGGTTTGCTTACCTTTGGTTAGTAGGGAATGGAGGAATGGGGTACAATTAATAACTACTATTACTACCATTCTTCCATTGCCTACTAACCAAAGGTAAGTTTGGGGTTTGGGGGCTTAGGCTGTTGCGTTTGGAATTTAGGCTGCTGCAGTGCAGGGTTTAGTATTGTAGCAACGGCTACAACGTCGTAACATTTGTGGTCCATGATGCAGAGTGATAGACTAGTAGCTACAGAGCAACCGTGCCAGCTGTCACTGGGCTGGAACTCTATAGCTACATTCCAAACCCTCAACCTCCCTAAAGCCTAAAAAGCCCCAAAACCCATAAACTCTGAATTCCAAATCTTAAGCCCTAAACCCATTACTCGAAACATTGAGCTCTAAACCCTGAACCATAGAGCCTAAGCCCCAAAACGTCGCACCCGTAAAGTAGCCTTATAGAACCCCTTGAAGGAACCCTGAAAGTACCCTGTAAGATAACCGTAAGCCGTGACTGAGGCCGCCACCACCGTTGCAGTCTCATCCACGACGCCTTTCTCTACGAAGACTGCCTTGATCGCCTGTCGAAGCTTTGGGGCAGTTTTGTGTCTCAGAAGTCCTTCAGGGGATATGGAAGATCTTTAACCTTGAGGCTTACTTTAGGGGGTCCTTTTAACCCTAGACCCTAGGCCCTGATTTCAGGGGAGATGTAGAGGGTTAAGGTTTAGGTTTGGGCTGAGGGTTTCCTTGATTGAGCTTTAAGGTTGGCATTGGAAGGGTTTGGGGCTGTCTGATTTTATGGGTTTAGGGTTTGGGGTTTAGGGTTTCGGGTTTCGGTTTAGCTAGGATACCCAGTAACCTAAGAATAAAAAGGCCTCTCTTTTTGGTATTGGGTAACTTTATAAGCAACCTAGGACTACAAAAAGGGAATAAGGGTACTACTGGGCATCCTAGTTAGAGAATGGGTTCTAGGGTGTTAAGCCGTGGGACTTGGGAGTCAGGATTTCTTGCTTCAGGCTTTCCAGCCTAAGCCCGTGCTAGTTCATGCTCGGGATAGGATTACAAATGTACATCTTTAATCCTTATGGGGTTTCGGTACCCAAAAAGTGTAAATGTTACCCTAAACCCTGAACCCTACAAAGGCTTGAAGGGGCCTTCAGCCCGAACTGGGAGCCTGTCGTGTCCCATGTGGCGGATCATGCGACGGTGCTGCGCCCTCATCACCCTACTTGGAGGTTCATGGGTATTTATAAGTGGGGTTATAAGTCCCATAATATGGGTTATAACTGCACTCACCCTACTTATAACCCCACTTATAACTACCCATGAACCTCCAAGCAAACCTCCAAGTATACAAATAGTACCTACCTTTGGGGTCTAAGGTCTATACATAGCATCTACTTTGGGCTATTTGGAGCCCCAGGGTCAGTGGGGGCGCTGGCGGTCGGTTTAGGGTTTAGGGTTTAGGGTTTAGGGTTTAGGGTTTAGGGATGAGCTCAAGAGGGCCCAAGAGCTGCTGCGTGAATGCTGTCTTCACCGCTGTGTGCGCCGCGGCAACCCGTCCATTCGGTATTCCGGTTCAGGTGAGGCCAAGATGAGGCAAAAAGGTGGACTGCTCCAGCAGGTTCCTCAACAAAACCGGGATGCTTGCGAAGCACCGCGACGGGCAATTCCAGGGAGTCGCTACACACTGGCGCCTGGGGCCCTCCGTCTCTATGCCTTTTCGAGACGAGTCCTGGCCACGGCTGGGACAATTGTGGCTCGCCTTAGCCACAGGATCCATTTACATGCTTTTAAAGGCAACCCAAAACCCAAAACCCTCTTAACCCTTAGCCATAAAGCCTAAACCCTAAACCCTAGCCCTAAAACCCTAAAAGCCCAAAAGCCTAAGCTCTACACCCTAAGCCAGAAACTATCGTAAACTTGTAATAAGCACGTAACAGCTGGGTTCCTATACGAACATCCTTGCTAGGGCTGAGGGTCTCTAGGAGCCCCAACTTTTCCGAGGTTAGGGTTCCGGGCTGCTGGACTTTAGGATTTAGGGTTGACACCCATAGGCTCATACCCTACCCCTTTTTTAAGGTTGAGGGTTCAGGGATGTTCAGGGTTTAGGGTTTAGGGTTGGCCTTGATCCTGGAGACACCCATGTTGAGGCAGGCCAGGTAGTCTGCAGCATCCACACGCTTCAGCGGTATGGTGTGAGGGTCGCCTCCCACCCAGACCTTCCAAAATCCCTTAATTAAGGAATATACCTTAAATCATATTGGGGATCCTAATATGATTTAAGGTATATTCCTTACTTAAGGGATTTGGGAGGTCGGCTCAATTTCGCAACTGGCATTGCCACGCGCATCCCGGCGTGTCCATACACTGCATCAACGCGAGTGCTCCAAGCGTTTGATACATTGCCAACCCAAACCCCCCAAAAGATCTAGAAAGCAGATCCCCTAATTTGGGGCCCTAAATAACTAAGGATACCTTCAAGGAGCCCCCATTAAGGGATCTACTTTTTGGATCCTCCCGGGGGTCAGCTACAGGGCTGGTTGAAGCTCCGCCTTCGGCAAAGAAGTCAACCTCAAGCCCACCAATGCGGATTAGCGCAGGTGATGCAGCTCTCGGTGCGAGGCACTGAAGCACAGCCAAGATCGTCTGACGCCTTGCCTGGTCCCAATTCCCCGGGAGGATCCAAAAAGTAGATCCCTGAATCGGGGTTCCATTAATGTACCCTAAGTAGTATAGGGCCCCAAATTAGGGGATCTACTTTCTATACCGTTTCGGGGGTCTGTAAACCCTAAACCCTAAACCCTAAAGGGTAGTGCGCCCCCTAAACCCTAAACCCTAAACCCCTAAACCCTACACCCTAAACGCTAAACCCTGAACCCTAAACCCTAAGCCCCAAACATGGCTGTCAAGTTTTGGCGCAGCAATAACGTGCTGCGTCGCAAAATGCAAGACTGGCAGGTCGGTCGTCGCATCCAGGCGCCCGAGCACAATCCCACGGTTTAGGGTTCAGGGTTCAGGGTTTAGGGTTCAAGGTTCAGGGTCTCGGGTTTAGAGTTTAGGGTTTAGGGTTTAGCGTTTAAGGTTTAAGGTTTAAGGTTCAGAGTCTCGGGTTTAGGGTTTAAGGTTCAGGGTTTAGGGTTTAGGGTTTAAGGTTCAGGGTTTAGGGTTTAAGGTTCAGAGTTTAGGGTGTAAGGTTTAAGGTTCAGGGTTTAGGGGTCGACAGCTGGTCATTCGGCCTTGGGTTTGTGCGCGGCTGCGCAGTTGCACCAGCTCAACTCTTGGGGCTTAGTAAGGGCTCCTTAAAGGGATCTATAGGGTTCCTTGAAGGGATCTATAGGGTTCCTTAAAGGGATCTATAGGGTTCCTTAAAGGGATCTATAGGGTTCCTTAAAGGGATCTATAGGGTTCCTTAAAAGGATCTATAGGGTTCCTTAAAGGGATCTATAGGGTTCCTTAAAGGGATCGATGGGGGTTAGGGTTTAGGGTCTACTTAGAGGCCCAGGGGACTTAGTAAGTCAGTTAGAAGCACGGTTATATTTGGGGTAGTAACTCCATGTAGGGTACTTATAACTCTACCTATAGCCTACTTACTAAGACCCTTGGGCCTCTAAGTAGACCCTAAACCCCATGGATCCCTTTAAGGAACCCTATAGATCCCTTTAAGGAGCCCTCTAAGAGACCTTACTAAGCCCCCTGGGCCTCTACGAAGCCTGTCCTAAACCCTACAGCCCGAGAGCCTGCTACCGAAGACCCCCCCAGACCCCACCTTAACTTACCAAAACTTACTGTTTTTTGTAGGGTCCTTAGGGTTTAGGGTTTAGGGTTTAGGGGTTTAGGGTTTAGGGTTTAGGGTTTAGGGGTTTAGGGGTTTAGGGTTTAGGGTTTAGGGTACCAAAACTTACTGTTTTTTGTAGGGTCCTTATAAATTCCATATTAGGGGTTTGTACTAAGAAACTACAAGAACGGTAGGGTTTGGTAGGTTAAGGTATCGTTATAATGTATACAAAGGACTTATAACTCTATTTACAACTACCCATGAGCCTCCAAGTGAGCCCCTAAGCCCTGAGCCCTCAGGCCTAAGGTAAAAGCCAACTAAACCCTAAACCCTAAACCCTAAAACCCTAAACCCTAAACCCTGAACCCCAAACTCTGAACCCTAAACCCTAAACCCCGAACCAAAGCTGAACTCCCAACGCTGAAGGCCTCGCGGGTCTTCTTGCCAGCCATGGTCGTAAACTCGCCCGGAACGGCGACGATGATCTGGGCTTTGGGACTCTTGAGCTCTCTTCTTTAGGGTTGGAGGTTCAGGGTTCAACAGCCAGGCCCACAAAAGTTCAAGCTTTCTAACATAGGCCAAGTATTCAAGGCCAAAATGCTTAAAGATCTCCCCTTGGCTATCTAAGTTAAGGCGATCGGTTTTGGGGTTCGGGGGTTGGGGCTTGTAGGGTTTAGAGTCCTCGGAGTTGGTTAGCTTCCGAGTTCATGTTGGTGCCTCAATAGTTAGAATAGGGTTTTGGGGAGTAGTATACGATACTTAAAAGGTAAGGGGGTGCCTTTTCTAATACTCCGACCTCCATATTCAGGTTCTATATAAGTAGTGCTACTGGTAGGGTTTTTTTGAGTGTTTCGGGTTTAGGGTTTAGGGCTTTAGGGTTTAAGGTTTAGGGCTTGAGGGTTTAGGGTTTAAGGCTTTAAGGTTTAGGGCTGAGGGTGTAGGGTTCTAGGGCTTAGGGGTTTAGGGCTTTAGGTTTAGGGTTTAGGGGTTTAGGGTCGTTCGGTCTTTCTGGGTTTGAGGGTTGAGGGCTTCGGAAGTTTCGGGCTTCTCGGTTTTGCCCAAGCCGAAATCCTGATTCCCCAAAACAAAGGGGACAAGGAGGGACCCTTTCTGGGGAGCCCTACCCTATCATGGGCTATACGATGGGTATATGATAGCTATATTAAGGGTATATACCCAGCTCCTCTTACCCCTGGACCAAAACTCCTCAAACGAAAGCCATAAACCCAACCCCAAAAACCCTAGAATCCTATAGATACCTTATAGAACCTCCCCTATAGACCCATTTGCATAAGAAACCCTTCAAGGAACCTGTTCAGGGACCCTAAACCCAAACCCTAAAACCCCAAACCCTTAACTAATAGTTCCTTATAGACCCATTTAAAGAGCCCTTCAAGGAACCTTTTAAGGAAACCCTACAACCCCTAGCCGAAGCCAGGGAACAAGACTGCCGATCCTCATCATCTGGAAGCCGAGCACCTCGGTATGCTACAATGGTATTATAAGGGTAATTTAGAGGTATTATAAGGGCACTATAAGGGTACTATGAGGGCACTTTAGGTAGGGTTTTAGGTTTTAGGGTTTTAAGATTTAAGATCTTGGGTTTAGGGTTTCGAAGTAAACCCTCGACCATCAGTCGCAGTTTACAGGTGCTAAAGCTGACGTCCGAATCCATATACCCTAAAACCTAAACCACAAACCCTAAAGCCTGTCTAGGATACCCAGTAACTATTGGGTAACTTTATAAGGAACCTAGGACTACAAAAAGGGAATTAGGGTACTACTGGGCATCCTAGCTGTAAGACTGTTTCGATGTTAAGTTAGTGGGTTGTCTGTCAGTTTGCCGGGTGGAGGGGGCGTGCGAGGGGGGGGGGGGGGCGGGAGGATTGAATGTTCGACCCTAAACCCTAAACCCGCAACCCTCAACCCTAAACCCCATATTAATTGCTTAAACTACAGACTCCTTAAACCCAAGCCCTAGGCTCGAAACCACGAACTAGATCTCCACGCCCTCAGCGCCGGCTGCTGTGGCCTGCACCAGAACTTGATTCCTCTTGCAAAGCATTGACAGTATCTGGGGGCAAGGCGAGGCCGCACCATCGACAGGTGGGCGGAGCCAAGGCCCGGTGGAAGACCAATCGAGAGGCAAGGTCTCAACGAAGGGTCTTGCTCTGTTGTGAGCTTTCGAAAATTGGGAACCAGCCTCTCTGAGGGCGGTGCCCACCGTGCCCGCCTGGAGGAGGAGCGATGGCCACTTTCGTCTGTCCATCGCCGGGCATTGAACCTTCTGTTCTGCTGTTTCTTCTTCCGGCTCAGGGTTTAAGGGTTTAGGGCTGAACCCTGCTCGGTGCCGTCTGTGTGTTGCTGTGTCGCGTGCGCAATGTGACAGCAAGCTGCACTTGTCGATCAACTCAGTCTCAGCAAGATCACGCCAGCCTAAACCCTGAACCCTAAACCCTCAACCCTGAACGCTAAACCCTAAACCCTCAACCCTGAACCCTAAACCCTCAACCCTAAACCCTAAACCCTCAACTCTAAACCCTAAACCCTAAACCCTGAACCCTAAACCCTAAACCCTAAACCCTCAACCCTAAACCCTAAACCCTCAACCCTAAACCCTAAACCCTCAACTCTAAACCCTAAACCCTAAACCCTAAACCCTAAACCCTGAACCCTAAACCCTAAACCCTAAAGCCTAAACCCTAAACCCTCAACTCTAAACCCTAAACCCTAAACCCTAAACCCTGAACCCTAAACCCTAAACCCTAGTGGTGGGTTTAGGGCTGCTTCGGGCCTAAACTCGAAACTCTTATCCAGTTTTAGGGTCCAGGGTTTAGGGGTTTAGGGGTTTAGGGTTTAGGGTTTGAACGGTTTAGGGTTTAAGGGTTTAGGGTTTAGGGTTCAGCGGTCAGAACTCTGAGGATTGATAGGGCTGAAGAGTGCGGGGCTTGAAGGATTTAGAACTCAGCATTTACGGCCTATAGGATTTAAGATTGAAGGGTGTTTTTAGGGTTTAGGGTTTAGGGTTGAGGAGTTAAGGATCTTCTTGACACCCATCCTAGGCGTGTCGCTAGAGCAGGGAAGCCTCTGGAAGCTGCTACCTGGACAGGGTTTAGGGTTTAGGGGTTTAGGGTTTAGGAGTTAAGGGTTTAATTTTAAGAAACTCTATAGGGTTTATAGGGTTTAGGATTTAGGGTTTATGGAAATTGTTATAGGGTTTAAGGCCTTAAAGAAACTCTATAGGGGTTTATAGGGTTTAGGATTTAGGGTTTGTAGAAGTTGCCTGGGGTTTGGGTCCGTGGTTTTGAGCGAAAGGTATTGAACGAAATATGTTGTTCTGCTTCTTAATTTGACTGGACGCGTCAACTTGCTCCTGTAGCGCGGAGGCTCGAACACGCATGATGACATCAGGGTCTAAGGCAGTTTAGGGTTCAGTGTTGGAGAAATATGATGAAGAGTAGGTGATGCAGACAAAACCGCTAACGTTAGGGCCAACGTTTGAAGGGCTTTGTGTTTAAGGTCAATGCCCTGAGCCCTTAACCCTGAGCCCTAAACTCTACGACCCGCCCACCCTTCCCCCCGCCTTCCAACAAAAAAATCAACCAACAGGAACCCTGGAAAGGAAGCCACAACGCAAGCCTTCGAATGCCAAAACGCCCTTAAGCTCGACATCCGCCCCAAAGCCTAATAAACCCTCAAACCCCAACCCTTAAACACCCTAAACCCTAAACCCTAAACCCTAAACCCTAAACCCTAATTAAACCCTAACCTCCAGCTGAACCCGAAGCCTTCGACCCTAAACCTTAAACCCTCAAGCCCCTGCGATTCTTTCAGCAGTGAGCTCCCGGCTGACGGGAAGAAGGGATATGGCAAGTTCCTTTGGTCACTACATGGGCTTTCGGGTTGTGTAGGTGGTTGGGGTCTAGAGCTCCGGGAATGTTCAGAAGATTTGGGGCACCGTATTTAGGAATTTAGGGGTGCTTATGATAGTTGAGATTTTGCTATTCAAAGTTGTTAGGGCCATAGCAAAGGTACCGAGCTATTCAGAAATTGCACGGTTCAACCTGAACACGATCGGGTGTCGTGTTCTTGTGATCTACATGGCGCATAAGTCTGGGCGGTTGGGATGTGTTTCGTTACCGGTGTATCATGCATGTCCGGCGCACTTGACAAACGGTGCCCTGAAAAGTACTTGTCTTCATCAGGATTTCTTCTGACCGTGACGAGCAACAGTGATGTATAACTGTCATTGTTATACTGTTATACTTAATTAAGATCCTAACTCCACGCGCCATCAGTTCAACAACGCATGAGAAAGATTCGCTGCCTGTTGTTACCGCTACTGTCCGCTACTGCTATCGCTCCTCCTGCTGCTACGACTCCGCCTGCTCCTGCTGCCGCTGCTACTGCAACTGCCAATTTCCCGAGAGTTGTCTGCTCCCGAGCCATCTATCCGCTACTGCTATTGCTCCTCCAACTACTACGACTCCTCCTCCTCCTCCTCCTCCTCCCATCATCACTGAAGGCTTAATTATCTCAAAGATAGAAAGCATTGGGGAGTCGAAAGCAGCGAGGGTGTGGGTCGCTGAGGGCCTCCAGTATAGGTGCAGAATGTAGGCTCGGTTTAGTGTCGCGAGGGTGGGGTTTCGTGCTCATGCTCCTAAAGAAGCAGCCCAAAGCTTCGATTGCCCGAAGGTGTGGTCCCAGGGGCTCTACCCCTCGATGGACAAGATTCCCACCAAGGCGACGTGGTACATATCGTTGAAATATTCAGCACGCTGCAGCTCAGCTGAAGTCAAGAGCGACCCGGCATCAGACAGCGTGGTGCGCAGCTCATCTAGGCCGATACCCAAAGGCCCCAAAGTAGTTCCTTTTTGTGGTTCATATATAGAATCCTATAAGGTAATCCCTTAGAAGCTGCCCCCACCCTGTAATAGTGACCATAAGGATACTATAAGGACTATATTAGGGCCCTACTATATTCCTATTATACCACTATTACAGGGTGGGGGCAGCTTCTAAGTAATCCCAAAGTAGTTCCTTTTTGGGGCTCATATATAGAATCCTATTAGAAGGTAATCCCAAAAAGGAACTACTTTGGGACCTCTGGGTAAACACAGCTACTCTCAGCTTGTCGTGATGAGTGCCCGTGCGCGATGCCTCCTGAACGCAGGCACTGGCCAACGAACCAATATGGGAGTTTCCGAAATTCGGGGTACCTTATTTCGGGGTCCTTATAATAAGGATCCTACTATTTAGGGTACTATATTAGGGTCCCCTTATTTCGGAAACTCCCATATGTCGGAGTCCTCGGCACGGTCAATGCACGATATGGTGATCGGGCAAGATGTGCCGCAGATTTAGAGGTCTGACTTATCCGGTCAAGACACTGCGCCGCTGAGGTGCTTTTGATGTGCCAGTGTCGGGAATTTACATGAATTTACCACTGCCCGGCTCGGCTCGCATGGCCCTCCGGATAGAAAGGCGGCGCCCTGCAGCCTCGGGAGAGAAAAAGCCCTAAACACCAAACCCTAAACCAACCTACGGTTGATGATATAGGTTCCTTTAAAGGGATCTATAAGGGTACCTTTAAGGGGTTCCTTTAAGGGATCTATAGGGGTTTAGGGTTTATAGGGTTGATGATATAGATCCTGCATGACCTTAAGGACCCTCAAGTATGGGAATTATGGTATATTCCTTATTATGGGGTAATGCAGGATTTATACCATCGACCGTAATTCGAATCCATGCTCGATCGGCTGCCTTTCGAAGTAAGGCTTTGCAAGCGGGGGCTTGAAGGGGTGCTTAGGGGCTAGGTTTTTAAATGTTTTAGGGTTTAGGGGTTTAAAGGAAAACGAAGAAGCATGTCACGTCTCAAAACGACCCTGTAATTCAAGGTCTACTGCAAGTTCTCAATCCTGTCACATTGTAGGCAAGGTCAGCTGCACCGTGGATACAGCAACATTCAGCTTCCTAGTCCCTGCGGGGGGTAGATCTAGCTCTACCTACAGCTGTCCATCTATCCTCACAGGCATTCGAACTTAGGGCTTGGTGTTTCTTGGAGATGACACGTGTGGGACCTGCAACCACAAAGTCTAAGCTTACCCTTCTCGGGTCTAGATGTTTGCACGCTTGCTGTTCGCACCCTAAACCCTCACCCCTAAACCCACCTAAACCCCAAACCCTAAGTTTCACTGTTCGGCATCATCGAAACCAGGATTGCCTGTGCTGGTTAGTAATTTGGGCTCGCGCTTTGGAGTCCTATGGTCCCTTAACCCGAAGCCCTAAACCTCATTTAGGGATGAGCGTTGAGGGTCTAGGCTTTAGCCCACACTGCGCGGCCAAGCCACATACCTCCAGGGTGAAGCAAGATATTCTTCGGCGCCTAGAACCGTCAGCTGGAGAGGGATGTCTGGAACAACGGTATAGCCGGTATAGCGCACTAACAGGGGCCTGCGTAAATTAAGGCTTCGGGATTTACTCGCGGCCTGCTTCAATCGAGAAGAGTTTGGAGTCTCATATCCATGGGCTTGCAAGCAAGCGGAGTAATCCGATGTCTAAGCATTCCCTCTGCCATATCAGGGCAACACCGGGCAAAGCCATAGTGTACTTCGTATGCATGGTTGATTGCCATTTTAGGGTCTCTAGGGTGTGGCTTTAGATTAGGGTGTAAGGTTTAAAGCACGATTCAGTATGATGTAGGAACCCGACTAAGAAACTTTGGCCACATACATAACCCCAAAATATTCGGGAATCCATCTTCAGAAACCTAACAAAGACCCGGGGGGCCCTCAATCGGATAAGGATGAATAAACCCTAAACCCTAAACCTCTAACCTCTAAGCCCTTAACCCTAAACCCTAAACCCCTAAACCCTACACCTTAAACCCTAAACCTACACCCTAAAAGTGCTGCCCTAACTACTTACTGCCAGCTCTCGGGCTTTTGTGGCTCTCCGATTGCTGCCTCGTCATGACTTTTTTTAAAACTGCCAGTGGAGCATTCGGGGGCCTGGCTCACTGTAAGGCTTATACTATCAACCCTACAGTAAACCCCGGACCGTCGTATAAGAAAGTTGAGATTTAGGCTTCAAGACCTACGGCTCTCTACTCCCCTTGGAAGGTAAGCAAAAAACTACTTTTTCGGAGACCCCTATAAAAGAAGACCTGAACCAAAAAAGGAACAAAGTAATAAAGTCTCCAAGAGCCTTAAAGGGCTGAGGACCTCGACTCCTAGGTTCAAGATCCAGGGTCTAAGGGTTAGGTTCCAGGGGGCTTGGCTCTTCGGGTTTAGACTTGGGGGCTTTAGGTTTTGGGTTAGGAAAAGCATCGAAAATCCCTAAAAACATCAAAACAATGGCCTGGCAGGACTTTTCTTCCTCCGTAGGCATGGAGATCATGTGCGCAATGAACCTTGGCTTTAACGGCTCGGCAAGAGATGCCTTTGAAGGTGGCTTTCAGAGCCCCTTCAAGGATCCCACGATGGTTCTGTATGTCTTCACGGCTTTAACTGTACAGAAGAGGACGCTGTGACAACCTATGGTTTGTACTTTTGGGGACCAGTGTCGCCTATCGGTTGACGTTTTTGGTAGTCCCACTAACTGTAGCGTGCTGGGCTTCGGGTTTAAGGTTGAAGCTTTAGAGGACTATAGTGTTTAGGCGTTAGGCTTTAGGCTTTGCGGATGACGGTTCAGACTTTTGGGGGTAAGAGCATAGACTGCAAGGGTTTCGGGTAGAGGCCTTTACGGTTTACGACAAGTCTCTACGACACGTGAACCCTACACCCCAAACAAGTTTCGGGTTTAGGACTTCGGGCCTTAACGGCCCAAACCCGAAACCACTTGGCTGGTAGTTGTTAAATGGATTTCAAGCTTCTGCGAGCCGCAAAGCCCTAAGGGCCACCAGAACCCCAAAATCTCCAGACAAAGAACCCTGCCGCAATCGCTCTGGATCCTCAAGCCAATGCCATAGACGTTTTTTACAAATACAAATGCAAATACAAGTACATGTACAAATACATGTATGTGTACATGTACCTGTGCACATATGTGTAGATGTGTATACATAAACATACACAGACAATACACAGATGAGTGCATGGATTTTTCAAGCAAGGAAAGACAGAGTTGTCCTTTAAGCCCTTTGAAAATGATCTACTATTATGGTTCTCCACAAAATAGTAGGGAAATTTGAAAAAGATGCCAAAGGACAACCCAGATAATAAATCATGATCAATATTAGGGGACTTATAACCCCACTTATAACTATGGATCCGCAGAGGACCCGGGGGACCGAAAACCCCGAACCCGAAACCCCAAACACTACTGCTGATGGACAAAATCCTGCATGACCCTAAGGACTCTAAACTATGTCAACTATGGCATGTTCCTTATAATGGGTAATGCAGGATTTTGTCCATCAGCCCTATCAACAAAAACCCTAAGCCACAAAAACCCTCAATCCTAAACGCAAAAGCCCAAAACCCATAAACCCTAAAGACACCAAATTACATTCCAATATAGGGGCCTTAATGATTAGAACAGGGTTGGGAAGTAGATCATGGCATCATAAGTCCTGCGGAATATTGTTGGCAATTGTCCACGCTGCTATACTACGCCTTGAACCCTAAACCCCTTGTAGATGCCTCCTAAAAACCCTCATAGGAACCCTTAACGGAGCCCCTTAAACGAAGCTCAATCCGGCAGAGGGCTGGAGGAATCCGTTGCTCGGCGTCATGTTCTGGCCAAACTCGTTGACGCCGCTCGGGCCGTCCTCCAGCTCTCTGGTTTCAGGGTTTAGAGGTTTGGAGGTTAGGGTTTAGGGTTTAGGGGTTTAAGGTTTAGGGTTTAAGGGTTTTGGGGTTTAGGGCCCCAAGGGTCAAAGTACCTAACAATCATATACTCTCCCAAATAGTAACCTACATAACTACTATCCGAAACCTAAGTACCTAACTATTGGGTCCTTTGGACCCTTGGGGTAGGGCTTAGGGTTCAAGGTTTAGAGTTTAGGGCGTAGGTGCACGTAGGACTTCGGGTGTAGGGTTTAGGGTGCGCAGTCGTGGTTCTCTATGGTTCCATAGGGTTTTGGCATTTGAGGCTCTTTCTTTATGTGGCGACAGGGCTCATTCTTGAAAGATATCATGACCTTTAGAAATCTATGGTTTGACCTGGCTTGAGTGGGGCTGTGGGAGCTTCGGGGAGTCGAGTCGGTTTGGGGGTTCTTTCGGAGCTTCGGATTCTGTTTGGGGCTCTTAACTATTATGGGGTATAGTATACCCCCCTTAAACCTTGGGTTTTATATGAACAACAATGAAGAGCAATTCCTAAGGGCTTAGTGTTCAGGATCTGAGGCTTGGGGTTCCGGGTTTAAGGATGGAAGCCACAATCGCAGACCCAGACCACCCGAAAACATAGACCCCCAAACCCCCAGACCGTCTCCCTAAGTGATAGTTTTCTGAAACCCTTGCTTCCTCCAGGCGTGCCCGTTTCAGAGCCTCCTTGAACCTCGCCCCTTAACCGACAACCCCTACACGATGGAAAGCCCTGACATGGGGGGGCTTCAGTAATTCGAGTAGGGCTTTTGGGCACAGGATAGTGCAAGTAGAAAGGTGCTAGAATGTAAAATGTAAGGAGAGACGACTACTACAGATTTTGACCCCTGTATTACATCACCAGCTGCTTCGTGCAATTGCGACATTCCATGCACTTTGCACAAAAGCCCTCTCATAAACAAGGCTTGTAGTCGGGATCCTAGGCCTCACGTAAAGGAGCTACTCATCAGTGGTCTACACCTGCATTAGCACGAAGGGCAAGTGCCCAACTAGGGTATCTCAACCATGCATTCTGGGTGTCGGCTGCAGGGTCGTTTACGGGTCTGGGATCTGGTATCAACTGCTGCACGCATGCCAGCCCCGAAACCCTAAACCTTCATTCCTCAAGCCTGAACCTTAAGCAACCCTAAGCTCTGAAAGCCGATTGTTCAGGATAGGCTTTTATGGTATGTTACACTGTAACTAAGTCATGTGCTGCAGATGCGTAAGGAATAATATTCACTGTTTTTCAGGCCGCCATAGCAAACCTTACAAAACTGACCTTGCTGAAGCTGTAGATGCTTATATATACATATATGTGTGTATATATATGTATATAGAAGGAAGCGCTTTTTCAACCGAACCCAGAAACCCTCAACCATAAACCGTTCAATCCTTAAAGCTACATCCGAGATACCTCCTGCGCCGTATACACGAAGCCCGGTACCCCCCTCCCAGAGACCCCACTTAAATCCTTTAATTACCTAAGACCATTCCTCCAATGAGAAATGGACTCCGGTTTAGGCCTCATATAGGGTATAAGTGGTATAAGTTTGAGGTTAGGGTTCAGATAGGGTTTATGGTCTAGGGTAGCAACACTACATAGGCCCCAAAACAGCGCCCAAGGTCCGTCGTGCCCGCGGCGAAGGCGGTGCCCAAGCAAGGGCTGCAGGTCTTGGCCTTTGCTTTACTTTGACGGTGTCGGGTTTGGGTTTGGGTATGTCGTCTAGGGTTTAGGGTTCAGGGTGTTTGGTTTGGGGCTTTTTTGGGAGTCAGGTTTAGGGTTTAGGGAATGTGGCAACTTAGGGTTAAGGCGGCTTCAACGCTCTCGTGCGCTTCCTCGAAAAAGCTCTCGGGGATTAAAAGGTAAGGGTTGAGAGTCTCGTCGAGTTCAAGATTTAGGGGCTTCGGATTCAGAGTCTAAGCTCCTGAGTTCAGGATCTGCATATATGCAGACTTAAAGGCTCAACGTAGATAGTAGTCAGTCATCTGCTTGTAAGCTTATAATAGAAGCCTCAAAGGTGGAAACCCAATAGCCTCAATCCTTAAGAGTCATGAACAATGACTCCCATTGTCCTTAATCCGGTTTCCAACTTTTGAGGATTTACTGTACATCGGTGCAAAATATTCGGCGTGAGGGTTTGGGAGAGTTGAAACGGTTGAGAGCTTCGGGCTGAGGGTTAAGGACTTACTTGGGGTTCAGAACCCTGAACACTAAACCCTAAGCCTACACCTGAACCCTAAACCTTAAACCTCATCCCTAAACCGACACCCTGGACCCTAAACCTTAAACCTAAACCCTAAAGCTGCACCCTAAACCGCCAAGCTTCAGCCTTGAAAGTAAACCCTACACCCCAAACCCTAAACGCTAGACCCCCGTTGACGAGTTGGAGCTGGAGATCTTCGGCGCAAGTCTTCGCTTCAGCGACCCCGAGGATCCCTACACACAGGGATCCTTTGGTCCCCCCAAAGAGCTTTGCTGGTGGCTGATCCAAGAGGTCGCCCTCCACCTTCTGCAACATACTCTTCCTTTCATCATCCAAAGAGTGCCAGGGCTTATCCTTTTCAGATGGTTGAGGGTTTAGCGCAGCGGATTTGGGAGAAGGGTTTTTGCGGTAGGGTCACTGGGGGCCCTAAACCGCATGGGTCCTAAACCTTCAACCCGAAATCCTAAACTTTAAACTTTAAACCCTAAACCTTCAACCCTATTAACCTTAAAGGCCTTCAGCCTCAGCGTAAACCTAACATCGAATCCTCTAAGAGAACTCCCGGAAGACCACCTTAATCCCATAACAGGAAGCCCATAGGGGATCCTGAAGTAGAAGACACTTCACGTGAGTCCATCTTCAAGCCTCCGGGGACCCAATAATCAGGAGATGAGGAGGGATGGTTTATCGGTTTAGGGTTTTGAGTTTTGGGTTTGGGCTTAGGGTTGTAAGGATGCAACTCTGATAACCGGAACTGAAGCACCCGTAGCCCAGTTGCTAAGTCCCCTAGCCTGCACCCCTCCGGGGACCCAATAATCAGGCTTAGGCTTTCAGGGTGTAAATATGGTAAGTGGAACCAATGCACGTCCCCGAGCCTGCACCTGCCGTTTCCTGCCGAGGAGCCCAAGTGCCGTTTCCATCCAAGTCCACCCAATACTTCGAGAGGTCCTAGGTGGCTCCAGATTTGGGTAGCCGTCAACATTGGGGTCCCTTTTTGGGTACCCTAAATAATAGGTGCGGTATTCTCACAGGGACCCTAAAAGAGACCATAATTTTGACAACCACCCAATTTTTAGAATTCAAGGCAGAAGATTCTGGGCTATCGCGTAGGGATTTGAAGCGACCGTCGGGCGTTGAAGCGAGTTCTCGAATGGGTCTTACACCGTTGTGTGGTTGATGAAGTTTTCACGAGGTTGAGATGGGCTGCGAACAGGTGCCAATGGCTGCGGATCGCTTAGCAATAGAATCATCCGTTTAACCGGTAACCCTTAAACCCTTAAACCCTTAAACCCTTAAACCCTTAAACCCTAAACCCTAACCGAGGCAAAAACCCGAAACCATTTGCACCCCAAAGCCCCTCAACAGCTCAACCCCAAACCCCAAGACCTTGCCCCTAGACCGTAAAACCTCAAAGGCTCACATGTAGCTCCCATCAAAAAACAAAGTTATAGAATCCCTGAACGCCTAGCTTCAGCCTTAAACAGCCGCAAACCCCAAGCCCCAAACTTCACCCCTAAACCCCAAACCCTCAAAGGCATTAAGCTTTAAGCCGCTTTTCTTCCACCCCGTCGATGCAATCTCTACATTGCTGGAATCTCGAAACTCACCCCCCCCCCCTCTATTGAACAAGTCCCACATAGAACCCCTAAAGGAAACCTTAGGCAACTCCGGAAGGAATGTTTTTTCTCGCAGCTCTTCTCCAGGAACCCCTTTTCAGGAACTCTGTTTCGGTGTCCTTAAGCCGAACCCTTAAAGGGTTACTTTAAAGGGTTCCGTGAAAGGGCTCCTTGAAAGAAACCCTTGAAGCCTTGGCGGTAAAGTAACCAGGGAGAAGAAAGTGTACAGTTTTTTTTGATAATGGTTCCTTTAAGAGAGAAGTATTAAAGTGTGGTACACCAAAGCCCAGTAAAGGAAGCCCCATGAGTCGACATCCGAGACTCTGCGAAGCGAACTGCGTAGTTCAGGCCAGCTCCTGTCGGCTAGGGTTTAGGGGATTTAGGGTTTAGGGTTTTAGGGTTTAAGGTTTTAGGGTAGGTCTTAGGGTTTTGGGGTTTAGGTTGCACTGTAGGTTTTACGGGTTGTAGGGTTTAGGTTCTGGGGTTTAGGGTTTCGGGTTCAGGGGCGTGATCTAGAGATCAGAGTCTGGGGGTTTTGGATTTGGGGGTTGAAGGTTTAGGATTAAAGGGTGCCATAAGGGTTTAGAATTTAGGCTTCACGTGTTGAATCAGGGTTTGGGTTGGCCTTCCGACTTCCGTGAAGCCTGCATGTTTTAAGTTCCCTTAATATGACTTCTTTACGGCTGAACTAGGATTTAGGAAGTAGTGCTTAGGATCGGTAGGTTTTAGAGTGTAGTGCTTAGGGCTAAGAGCTTAAGGACTGTTAGTTCCCGCAAGGCTTACCAGTACTAACAGGATTACTCCTCATACAGCAACGGTCTACAATAAGGGCTACGACTAACGGCCGAACTATGCCTATTCGAATATTTTCATTCAACTGTCACTGAGTGGGGGCAGTTTTTCGTCTTACTAAAAGAGTTGCTATACCGTACTGTAGAGCGGAATGCACAAACCCCAATTCCAGAGATACCCCGAATCAAAATTCAAAGGGGAGAAGGAGGGACCCTTAATGGGGACCCCTACCCTCTCATGGGCTATATAATGGATATATAAGAGTAGCTATATTTAGGGTATATACGAGTACCTAGGGGTCCTTATTAAGGGTCCCTCCTTTTACCCTTGGAAAAATTCCTTGAACCCTTAAGCCGCTTCACGCCCCAAATTCGAAGCCGAACGTCCGAAACCGAAGCCTAAACTGCAATCTGAAACCCGAAACCGGTGAGGATGCTAAACACCAAGCCGTAAGCCCCAGTAAGCCCTAAAGAGTACCCTAAACCCTAAACCCTAAAACCCAAAACCCTAAAAAACCTAAACCCTAAAACCCTAAACCCTAAAAACCTCAACCCTAAAACCTAAACCCTAAAGAGTCACCCTATTAGACCGCCTTCAAGAAAAAAGCGGATCCTACGCTCGCCCGCCTATGGGGGTCTCCGCACGATCGAAGATATGCCTGGGCTGATCTTGACATACGGTTGATGATATAAATCCTGCATTACCCAGAATAAGGAATTCACTATAATTCCCATAGTCCAGGGTCCTTAAGGTAATGCAGGATTTATATCATCAACCGTCGAGGGGCGCGTTCATTGTCGGGCTTTGGTGGTTTAGGGGTTTAATATAGGGGCCTTAATAATTAGAATAGGGCATTGGGGCCCATCATACTATGACTATAATAATCAACCGCCAAAATAGTCAATAGTATTGGTAAATATTTAGGCGCATTATAGTAGGATTTAGGGTTTAGATGGGGGTTTCGATCAGTTCTAAGGGGGGCCATGTGCTTGAAGGGTTTCGACAGGTCTCTATGGGGATTTAGACACGCGCAGCCATAGTTTGAGTTGGCGGATAAAACTGCTCCAAGCATATGTACATATTATGGAGATCTGTGAACATATGTTGATATGTGGAAATATGTGTAGTGTATACATATATTTATACATATCAAGACAGGCCAGCACCCGTTAGTTTGACAACAAGGCTTTAATCATACTACGGATGCCATAACTCACTGCATAAAGCCTAATGGGCGAACCGAAAGAAAGCGCGGCAAACTATTGTTTTGTCGAAAGTGAAAGCCCGCGACAGATCCTGAGTATTTAGCACATTCCTGCTGAAAAACACTTAAAAGCAGGATCGTACTAAGCACTGGAAGGAAAGCGCTATAGTTATAGATCATGGGGACCGACCCTAAACCTAAGCCCTACATAAACCTTAAACCCTAATCTATCCAAATCTATATCTATACCTATATCTATACCGTCTTTACCTCTATATCTACCTGTCTATGTATAAACAAATACATATATATATATATACACACATTATACATACATGTACATACGTACAACAGGGATAGATGGCAGCCGCGGCGCTTCGCTGCCTTAAACTGCCTCTCCCCGATGATCCGCGCAGACTCATAGGCATCCTGAGATAGGGCTTCCTAGAAGGGGTTCCTTTAAGGGGACCCTACGGGGGTTCCTTTAAGGCTTCCGGTAACGGGATCCTTTAGGGTTTTAGCGTTTGGGTTTCCTGAGAGAGGGATCCTTCAAGGGTTCCTTCAAAGGGTTCCTTTCAGGGGTCCCTTACAAGGTTCCTAATAAGGTTCTTTTAAGGGGTTCGCCTGAGGAATCTGTAAGGGATGGGGTTGAAGGTGATCGCACACCTGGAGGATCATGGACTTCGTAAGCATGTTTCCTTAACGGGTTTCCTAAGAGGGATCCTAAACGGGATCGATAAAGGTGCTACAATGGGGCGGTATGGGACTAAGTAAGTGAGATTATGATTACAAGCACCTCAACTAGAGTTATAAGTGATTTTTACTAGACTTGCCTTGTCCAGAACCCCGGATACTAAGTCCCATGATCCTCCTAGTAATGTCCAAACCCGTACCCCTGTACCCTACGACCCAGACAGACACCAATAGACAAACCCTGAAACCCTAAAACCCCAAAGCCCCAAAACCAGGAAGTTGACAGTCTACCCCTCTTTTAAAACCCCAACCAACCCAAAAGCAAACCCTAAAGCCCTCCTCTCCCATGTCGCCGCCCAGTGACCCGGCTAGGACCACGACCACGGCAGAGCTCGTTCTTGTGCTGGCCGCCCTCCCAGCAGACCTAAAGGCTCCAGGATTTAGGACTCAGGATTCCTTTGAGAGTTCGTTTAAGGGCTCCCTGCAGGTTCCCTTTAAGGACACATTCTAATGGTTCCTGTAAGAGCCCCTTGCTATCAGGGATCCCAGAAGCATTGCTAAAACGCTTAGGGTTCAGGGTCATGTGACAGTTATAAGTGAGGCTAAGCTATGCCCTAAAGCCCTGAACCCCCAGAACCCGCCAGGGTACCCCACAGAATCTAGCATCCCTAGTCGCCATGTCCATCTAAGCTTCTGAGTACTGGTTCTCGCAGGACAAGCCCGTGTTGGTGCAGAAGGAGCCATTCACGTTCGGCGACACATCCTGACATGATGTCCAGGACTTTATCAGGGCGGTGTGGGGCGTCATAAGCAGTATGGGGTGTCGTGAAGGATTGCAGGCGTGTTGCAGGTCTTTGTAAGGGGAGCTTTTACAAGAGCTTGATAGGGGGACCCTCGAGAACAGAATGGGCTTTAGGACTCTTATAACAGAGTGCCGTCCTCTTGCGAGGTTCCAAAAAGGTTCTCCATAAGCAACGCTTTCAATCTGTCGTCTACGGTACCGTCGTGACGCTGTTAGCGCCTCTGTCACTCCTGTAAGCGGCCCAGAGACTCCAAAACCCCTTAATTGAGGAATATACCTTAAATCATAGTAGGGATCCTTCTAGAATTTAAGGAGTATTCCTTAATTGAGGGGTTTTGGAGGCTCTGGGTATAAAGCCCTGATCCCAAACCCTAAACCCTAACGGTTAACCCTAACCTTAGGCCCCATCCCCCCAAAGCACGATTCATCTCCGTGGCCAACGTCTCCAGGCAAGAAGCCCAAAGAAAAACGACTGCTACGGTGTAGGCTCTGGAACACTAAACCCTGAAACCTAAACCCGAAGCCTTCAAAACCCTGTCCCCTAAATTTTAAAACTTGACATCTACACCCCCACACCCCTAAGCCTTAAACCCTAAAGCACTAGACCCTTAAACCATGAACCCAAGCCCTACATCCTAAACCCCTTGAACCCTAAACCCCTTCAGCACTCTTTAAACCCAGAGCCTCAGAAGCTAAACCTCTTTGTGGAGGCAGTGGGTCTGCATCACATGAGCTGCCCTAAGCCCTAACCAGCAACTGAACTGTCGAAATTTTGCGAGCATGCCAGAAAAGGACACCGTGGCATTTATAGTTTATGGCAACCTGCTGGTACCATCGTAGTCAGTAGTACCCAGAGACTCCAAAACCCCTTAATTAAGGAATATACCTTAAATCATAGTAGGGGTCCTTCTATAATTTAAGGAAGATTCCTTAATTAAGGGGTTTTGGAGGCTCTGGGTATGCGTTGGGCTTTTCTTGGGGCTTTTGGTGCAGGGATCTGGGCTCCTTTAGGCTTGATATATGGGCCTAAATAATTACCAATATTATTGTGGGGGTTCCTTATTATTATAAGTATAGTATAATGGGTCCCCAAACCCTAGTCTAATTATGAAGGCCCCTATAGTAGTGCTACACGATGTTGTTCTAGGCCGTTAGACTTACGGTTCGATGGAGTTTAGCTTGGGGCCTTATGGTTGGGAGTTTAGGGTTTAGGGTTTATAGGTTGAGGGCTTTGGGTTTGGCTTTAGCTTAGGGCTTAGGTTTGGGACTTACGCCTAAGATCTCAACCCCTGACAGCCCTGGGATCATCTTCTTAAACCCTGAACCCCACGACCCAGGCCCTGAAACCCCCAAGCCCTGTAAACCTTAATTTATCATAGGGATCCTTAGGGGTGTAGGGGGAGGGGGGGTAGGTAGGGGGCCTTAAGGCCCATAATAAGGACTAATAAGGCCTATTTAAGGAAATATAGTCCCCTACACTCCTCTATAGTTGTTGTAAACCACTGCACACACGCACTGTTGTATATGTCCGTCCAAGTGATAACAAGCAGCTTGTACCATGCGGTAACTACGCACCTTTTCCTGTTAGAGCACTTGTGCCACAATGCCGTACACACAACATGCTACTTCACACGTGCACAAATTACACCCCCCTCGCCGAAGCGTCAGTCTGAGGCGCAAACATGCACGGAAGCTTGGTGCTGTGTGGCCTGCCGTAAAGGCGGCTGGATTGTGGCTCGGGGCTCATAGGCTTTCTACTACCGTAAAGCGGAAGATACGGAAGCAGATTAATTCTTTTAGCGCGCAGTTTAAAGTCGCGACATGCATTATAAAATGGCGACGATCCAGCAAGCCTTGAATGATGGCGTGGATACAAGTCGCAAGACATGTGCAGCATGGGACGAATACATCATCCGCTGGAGCTGCTGACGAATCCCCTCGAGGTCCAAAGACCTGGTGTCGGAGTTGTCACAAAGTGACTGCCAGATGATGCAAGATGAAATTTTTCTGGTCTTAAGGAAATTCGGCCACCTCTAAGAGGGGCTGTATTTCGGAGTACCGGTTAACGTGACGGAACCACGAAATGTGGGTCAGGTACTTAGTACCATCCCCGGGAACCGGAGGAGCGCCCATAGGGGTGGGATCCTCGCTGGTAGCCGCGATCCCATCCCTGCTCCTGGTAGCGCTGCTGCTCTGCTCTGCGGGCATCAGCTTTGGCTTGCGCGATGCGAGAGCGTTCAGCGTTGCGCTGTCGTTCTTCGTATGCACGGCGTGCAATTCCGACCTGTTCCGCGAATTTCTCACGGAGCCACTCAGTCCAGTCCTCAGCAGAATAGCCGAGTCTTGGATCAACATAGAGTGCCTCTTCTGAGAAAGTAACAATCATCTTCACGATTTTGTGCTGGAGGAAAACATCTACGAATTTGCGCAAACTGTATGCCCCTCCCAGCCACATGATGCAAAACGGATCGTCACTCACTGCGGAGATCAGGCCTGCCCTAAGGGCGGCTGGATTGCAGTCGTGCAGGTAGAGCAACCGAGCGATCTCCTGGTTCCGTGGCCCTTCGGAGCTTCCACCATAGGTTCCGACAGCTAACTGTCGTTGCTCCTTTGAACGGCCATGGTTCGGCAAGGCAGCATGCGTAAGCACGTCTTCGATGGCCAGAAACTCTCGATCGTACCCATTGCCGATGGAACTCATTGTGTAGTCCACATCGTTATCGAACCGGTGTACGATGCTTGTGTAGCCTCCTTTTGTAGCCATCTTGAGCTGCTGCCGGGCTTTGTCCAGCGCCTCTGCGTCGAGCGATGTCGTTCCCCGCTGTGTGGAAGAATCTCTGGTCATTTCATGAATGACCTCCTCCGGTGTAAGCTGGGAACGTGGCTTGCCCGCAGCGGCGGCGGCTGCCTCTTCAGCGAACCATCGAGCCGAACGCGCTTTCTTGCGTGCGTTCTGCTGAGAAGGTTTCACGATGTGCACGCCACAGCTCAAGCATATCATCTGTCCCACAAGGTGTTGAGTACCGCAGTGGGGACATGCCCTGTGGCGGCCACCCGTAACGGGGGCTGGAGGGAGAGCCAAAGGAGTCGATTCCGGCTGAGGCGGTGCCTGCTCGAACATCGGCTCGATCTTAATCTCCTCCTCCCTTTTCACATCTCCTTCTTCAGGCTCGATTTCGATCTCGACTTCAACGGGATCTTCCGGCTCGAGGAAACGAACACGCTTTCTGGACTCAGTCGGTGCCTCCGGTGGAGAAGCACCCCCCTGGTCCAATGTTGTGGTTTCCTCCGGAAGGAAGTCGGATGCTGTGGCGTCGTTGAGCGCAAGAGGTTCTGGCGATGATGCTGGTGGTGCCACCTCAAGCTCAACTTCGACCATAGGCTCGTCTGCTGTTGCAGACTCTGCTGTCTCGACCTCTTCATGGCCACCACTAAGTGGGGCTGAAGGTTCCTCCGGTACATCGGGGAACTGTTCCGGCTCAGCTGCTCCAGGATCGACAATGGGATCCTGGGCAGTTTCCGGGATGATGGTGTCCTCTTCCTCGCTGGACTGACGCGACCACAAAATGATGCCTTTGATCGTGTCCCTGATGTAGAGCACACAAGATCCTGGCACTGGGTCGCGCGTGAGTATGCCTTCGGAAGTTGTTTCAAACAGGTAGGCATAGCGGTTCACCTCCTGAGTGTCGAGAACAACTTCATAAGGAAGGTTTGCTCGGCTTCCAGCTTTATTCTCAAGCTCGCTCAGCGTGGCCTTCGCGAAGTAGTTGTGAAACTTCCCGCTCCGGTTGAAGCCAGCTGTGAAGCCAGTAGAGAGAATATTGAAAGCTGAATCATGCGTGGTTCGATGATACAAGCGTGGGGGAAACTCCCCAAGAGCAAGGAATGGCCTGCCTTGATAGGCGGCTGTAGGACCAAGCTCCTCACGCGTCTCGTTCGTGAACCAATGCAGAGCAATCGAGGAATCAGTCACCTGATCTTTGATGCGTTCACTGTGACCATGTGACGCACAAATCCACGACGGCCAAATGTCCGTCTCGATGAAGTCAGCACGTGGATCGGTGGGGAGGCCTGCCAAGTTAAACCTCGATTTGTTATCGTAGGCGACTATGGACAAGATACCTCGAGTTCCCAGATCCACACGGTGCTTCTTCCACATGTGCTGAATGAGGTCTTGGATGCGTACCCATTTGCCTCGCCGTGAGCTGAGCTTCACGTTCGACCCTCGGACAGCACCTGTGAGGTAGCGCTCAACATAGGGTTTGAGGCCTAACTCAGGGAGGTGGTCCTTCGGAATCGAATCGGGGAGGATCTGGACGATCTCGCTCCCCTCAGGATCCTCCGGACAGACATCTTCATCGATGAAGCCGCACATCTCCATCAGGTCCAATCATCTTGGAATTTTACCCCGATGTAGTCGTGTGGGCGAGCCCTTAAAAGGCCGCTGGAAGGGTCCCGGTCCTTCTTGGTCATGCCCTCTTTCGCAGCAGACAGAGTGCGGTGTGACTCAGTGCGATAAGGGATGGCCTCGATGACATCGTCAAAGGACACTTCCGGTACATCGCGAGAAGATGCACTGCCAGATGGGCCACCACTAAGTGGGGCTGGATCCTTTCGCTCAGCACGGGCACGTGCTTCCGCCTGCTCTTTTGCACGCTTTTGCGCCTGCTCGCGAGCTGTGGCCCATTCCCAATTCAGGACATCCTGAGGTACCTCACGCATTCCAGTGACCGGGAGATCAGGTGGAGGAACATAAGGGGATTCCCATGGGTCAGGGCACTCATTTGCAGCTTCGCGAATCTCGGCCTGCCTTAAAAGGCGGCGGGAGAGCTGGGACCGATACAGCGCCTTGTCGAAGACATACTGCATGGAATATACCCGCGTTCCTTCTGGGTCGAAGGGGAAACGGCGGGCCAGCTCGTCCAGCGTCTCTGAGGGCATCTTTGCGAATAAGTGGTCAG